ACTAGTTACTATCCGTGACTTTGTTCGCATGATATTTAAAAAAACTAACTTAATTAAAATAACTAACCAGTTTAAAACAATTTTCGTTTTAATTTTGTCTATTGTAGATCCAGATCCTTTCTAACATCTAAATATTAGTAACCTATAGAAGATACATTGAATATATCAAGTTAATCACAACGTGGAAATTGAAACAATAAAATTATTATCTGTAATTACGGCAATTGTATCCATTTTGGATGTGACATTAACGTTATTTTGGTAAAAGCCGATTGAAAAGACAAAGGCTATGACGTTTATGCCACTATGTTGTCAATGACAACAATGGACAATGGATACGATATTTAAAGGTTTACCTATTTATAAATGAACTAGCTGTCTCTTGCAACTTCGTCCGCGCGGAATTAAAAAAAACTTAATATGTAGCCTATGTGTTCTTCCAGATTGTGTCCACATTTATGCCAAATTTGATCGAGATCCGTTCTATCACCATACCATTCATCTAACCATTCGCATTTGTAATTCTATAGTAAGAGTAGGATTATTTTAATCGTTAATAATAAGTAGCTATTGAATATTATGGATATGTTAAACATACGTCCATCTTGACGTTTACAACTTTTGCAACAACCAGTTTTCTTAGTTATGACTTAGTACGGTGTTCCGTTGTAAACATTTGCAGGTTTTTTTTTTAAATTCCAGCAACCTGCAATCGCAATGTGAGAACATTAATTGGCTTAAAGCTTTCAAGTTACGGCTTCATTTATAAAGTTCGGCTTTAAAATTTTAATACTCAATTTAAGCAGGAAAAATTATAAAAACAGATTTACGTAATAGGGTAATATTAAACATAGTTTTTAAATGGATTTTCAAAATTAGTTTAGTATACCGTTTTCAGACATAAATAGTCCGTCTTAAAAACGCATAGATAACAAAAAATTTAATGTTAATAAAAAATAATTCTTAAACAATACAAACCGGACGGTCCGCGGTAGAACCGGACGCATGGTAGGCCTAGATTAAGTCAAATTGGTTGCAGGCGTGCGATTGGCCGGCGCGTGTGACGTCAATGGCGACCTCTCGCCGCGCCCGCGCCCCGCGTCCCGCCCGCACAAGGCCGCGCCTTGCCGACCGAAAGTATAACACGATTTTCGGACGCTTTTTTATTATTTCACGCCATCATTGCCATTCGGTTACGCTTACCGTACCCATAACATTCGAGTCGTAATCACTTCAATTTTGATTACTTTTAAAATATAAGATTTATGGGAGACGACCTAAACCCGAGTATGTCATAAAAAAAGTTCTAAAAGCCCACCTTATTAGATCCTAAATGAGACTAATTGTGTGTATATGTCTCAGTATTTTTTTAATGTTTAAGATTTGAGAATTTAAGCTCACTTATTAACAGTACTCAGTAACTCAATGTTTTCTTTTAAAGTGTATTTAGTTAATACCCAGATTCCTTCACGATAATATAATAGTTTCCACGGTCAAACACGTGGTTTACCAGCAGTTAAATTGCAATTAACAGACTGACTGTTGCAACTGTACATTGAAATCAATTTTACCTGCGTATATTTTAGCTTCTATATAAAATTAAAATAGTTTTCTTGGCGAGTAGCATTATATTATTATTAACCTGAAAATAAATAGAGTCTTATTAAAATTATGTACGCATTTTTCTAAACATTTTTAATACTCAGAGTTCTTTTAGGTTTGTATTGGCTTCTGTTATTATCTACTTCTGGTTACAACGATAGTTTGTATAGCAAAACGTAAGCAATCATGTCGGTCTCTACTCGTGTACCAGCCCACGTGTTCCTTGATGTATGCAGACAATACGTCATGTTTTCCTCCTTTACATTAAATATTCTGATATGGGTTATTTTATTATTCGCGTTGAACTTGCATTTAAAAAACTAGGAGTCCACTAACAAAAAGAGTCGATACTGCTTCACTCAAATGAATTCGTCTCTTTGATTAACTAACAGGACATCTGATTTGGATTTATATTTATAATGAAAAATATTTGATCATCTCAACCAAGTCAACATTTTTATACATTTGCGATTTGTCTATTTGCTTTGTGACTGAAATATTATTAATACGTACCATTAAAGGCAAAGGAACAGCGGGCGTACGTCCAAGCTATATAAAGAGTAGCATTTGCGGCCGACTGACTCACCAGGGCCTAATTAACGCTACACCGAGAGGTTACTGCCGCTCACATTCGCGGAAATAAACTAAGTATAACTAACATACAACTGTATATCTACCATTTATTGTAAACTCCAATACATTTATTTTTTTTAAACAAATTTAGTGTTGGCTAGTGCTAAATAAAGACAATTCGACTCTTCATTCGAATCGTGTCTTTACAAGGACCAAAGTAAGATGTAAGCCTTATAAGTTATTTTCTTAATATAATATACTAAAATTATAGATTGAGTTGTATGAACATCGAGTCCCAACTGATCTTTAAGGGTAGGACTCTGAGTGCAGCAGTAAGAGTATCTTTTCGTTGCATTTGTGTGGGCAATTCGTGTTGGAGCCGCGCGGGCTGCGGCCGTCGAGTCTCTACCGCGCGCCACAATTGTATAATATGTTATTTAAATTTAACACGACGGATGATGCTAGTTTTTTATACACATTTAACGGTGTGTAAACACTGAGGAAGTGCTTTCGTCACACTTCGCTTCGCCTGGAGTTTCAAACTTTTTTATAATCTTAGATATTTTTTCACAGCTTCGAAGCAAGTCGGCACTCTTCAAGACGTAAGACGGTACTCGATAGCCCTTTAACTTCACGAACTACACCGTCCTTCAGACAGAACCGCAATAATGTTAGCACGCCACTCGAAGTGCTAATCCTAGACTTACTTGCAAGTTTAGTTTTATTTATATAGCAAATAGCAATCCTAGCAATACCCTTGATGTACTTAACTATGAAATTGTATCTAAAGTACATAAAATTCATATTAATTACCAATCCATGGTATAGAAATGTTTCTTGTTTTAAATATAATAATTAGCAAATCCTATTTATAATTTTTAAAACACACAACATATAGCAGGAAATTCTCAGCAAAGAAAATGAAAGAACCGCGCGCGAAACCGCGAGCAATAGTTAGTTTAAGCACGATTCATATACTGCTCGAGTGTGTACACAGCCTAACGCTTTCCCTTGATCCGCCCCGTGCCCTTCCGCGTCGGATCGTTATTGACAAGTGTGGTAAAAATAGACGCCCGTTTGTTTTGCTTTCTAAACGGATATTAAAACACGCAACAAGGCTACGCTTTTCACGTAACGACAAGCTGCAAGCTAATGGAAATGATTATTGGTGATGACTCTTTAATAGATTCGTGAAAGAAATTAAATTATATTTTCTTTATTGATACGACTCCAAGAATTTTTAACTTTTTGTCCGATTACGCTACGAGAAATATTGTTTGTTATATGCTTCAACAATACAACATAATTTACGCCCGTAACCCAGATGGGTTGGCAGACACCACGGATCTTTATTTCAACAATATTACTTGTAATAATATTATTAGGCGAATTTTAAACATCTTATAGTTAGAATTGATATTTGCTTAGGTATCAATTTGTAAGTTTAGCTTGTTGTGTTTTCTGTTATACGTAAAAGTTTCCTGTTTTATAATAATGCAACAATGATTTAGTTTGTTATATAATTAAGCTTTATAATTTAGAACAAATCATTTACATAGGTAACAATAATGTTATTTAATATTTACGTAGTGTAACGTTTCTTAACTTAGACAATATAGTAGTTAATATGAAAATTATCTTCAAACTGTATGTTTGTATAAATTGTAACAAAACATAATATAAAAGTTCAAATAGGACTATCCGTGTAGAGGTGAGACGTTTGGAGTCAATCGTGTTGCGCAGTGCGCAAGCGCGCACGTATCGACCCGCTACCAGATGTCGGCCGGCGCCTTACGCGCGTCTCCAACAATTTGCGAAACTCGCTTTTAGATGAAATGTACGAATGAGGCCATCGCTTTTGTCTAAATAATTTGTTTACTATGAAAGCGCTGTTGGAATGTTAGTGGTTTCATTACTTAGTAACAATCATTTAATTATAACTCTTTTTAATATTTTTTAATAAATAAAGTCGTTTCTATTTATTTCGTATCAGTAAAATATTATCTATCTTGTGAAAATTAATATAAATATAAAAGAAAATATTAAATCTTGAATTATTTAATAATTATTTTAAGAATTCAGTTGATAGTTAATTATAGATTTTAATAACACAATTATTGCAATAAATGGAGATCTATGGTCGTTTTGTCTATTGCTTTATCTACATATATGAAAACAATTCTACGAAAACATTGTTATCTCTGTTTTTTTCATTAAGAAAGAGAGAGATGAAAATATGTTTGCATGTGTTTCGTAATGTAAAACAGCGGTAAGCTCTACTTGACTTTGGCTTTGAACTGTAAAGCGGGACATCGCGTGCAATCTTACCAACCTTCGTTGTAACTTTTATTGTTGCAACTGTTAAAAGCAAGCTTCAAAACTGCAAATTTAAAATTTCAATTATAGTTTTATTATCCCGACATCTAAAATTATAAAGCCCCATACATTTTCAAATACAGAATGAAAAATTCGGACATTTTGGTAATTCTAAATTCAAAAGTCAACGAAATACCAAAAAATATTCTTATTCTTCGTACTATTTGTCACAGCAAAGTAAGTCCTCGGAGTCCAGACTTTGTTTGTACCAACTTTCTTATAATTTGAGGAAATAAGACAGTAATAATAATCGTTGTTTAGACATTATTAGTTGGAATCCTTTGGCGCGAATGACGTGCTTTCGTTACAAAGTCCAGTGTCAGAATGATTAGTGAGGGGACACAAACGTCGACATTTTAGTAAAGCTAGTGTTGGTTCAATACATTGTCACATTTTCGGATTTTCATCCTAACAGTTGTTAGATATTAAATGTGATTATTTTGTTTCAGTGTGCAATTTCATAGTGCACGAGCGATGCGTGGGGCAAGTGGTGACGCCGTGCTGTGGGGTGGCGCCGAGCCTTATCAAGGTAATTTCACATTTATCCCTCTAAAAATTACGTTTATATTCCATTGTTTATTTCCCACTTTGTTATTTTTAGCTGTTCCTTAAATTAAACAAGTTGGTTTAAAATTATCAATGACATTGTTAGCCAAGTAATGGTATCTAAATTATTTATTTATAATTTCAATATATTTATATATTTTTTTTATTTTTGTTGCTTAAATAAACGAATTTTATTTATTTTATTTTATTTATTTATTTCGTTTGTGTCATTTAACCGAAAGTTGTCAATTATAAGAAGGAAAATGATGTACAATATTTTAAACGTAATTCAAGAGAAAAAAAACAAACTTTTATAATCTTTTATTCTTAATAAGTTACGAGATTTTTTAAGGCAATATAGATGTACTAGACAGGCAACTAGAAATATACATGGTTTTGATTAAATTATAAGACCGTTTATATCTTTTTTGTATTCAATCTGCCTCTGAACCTTCGCACGGATGTTGTTATTTGATATTTGCGTCGTGCCCTAGAACCCGGTGGCCCACTGCTGGTCGGAGCCGGCACACCACAAGCGCAAGTTCTGCACGGTGTGTCGCAAGCGGCTCGATGAACTGCCAGCTTTACATTGTATGAGTGAGTATATGATTGTTATCTGTTGTTGGAACCATTGTTAGGTACATCCCCTATAAGTTGTTTAGGTTGGTACCACTGCAAACCGCGTCATTATAATACTATGTCGATGTAAGGAATGACTATGGTTTTTATATTTAGGATTTTTTTTTAAGTTTTTTAATTTTATCTTAATTTGTTTTCTTTTTAAACTTTAAGACTGCGATGGAGACTTAACTCACAAGTATTTTATTGTTTACTTTAGTAATGATGAAATATCGCTAAATATTCCATAATTCTCGTAAGCTAGTTCAACTATATTATTTTTGTTTAATGATCCCTCTTATCAAAATGTCTGAGCCCCTAGTCCATGATGTTAACTAGCCAAGTAAGTGTGCTAGAAGTATTGCTACTGGAGCTAGTACTTAGTACATAGGATGAATTATAAGTATAATTACTAATGTTAGTTGTATTATAATATAATAGTATGCGAGTACTACGTGCACGGAGAGTGCGTAGACTTCGCAGCGGCGGACTGCAAGGAGAACGCGACATACTGCGCGGGCAGCGAGCCACGGCACGTCCACCACTGGCGCGAGGGCAACCTGCCGCCCAACTCCAAGTGTGCTGCCTGCCGCCGCGCCTGCTGGTCCGCTGAGTGCCTCACCGGCTACCGCTGCGAGTGGTGTGGCAGCACGGTGAGATACTCTCTTCCTCCCACCAACCCAGCACACGCCCACAGTTCCTAATCAATATACGTATAAACGATATAAATAAATACACATCTCCTACGTCACTTGTGGATTAGGAGAAGTGAAGGCCCACTTTTAGACCCAGCGCCATGCCAATTAGTTGTTTTGAAATGTCGCCTTAAACCCGTTTAGAAATAATAACCCTTGTCAACAGTGCCACGCCGGCTGCCGCGCGTTAATCCCGGAAGAATGCAACTTCGGCATGCTGCAGCCGATATTCCTGCCCCCGTCGGCGGTGTCTATCCCGCGGACGGAGGTGCCTATGGAAGCGATCATCGGCGTGCACGTGCGGCCCCCGCCTTCGCAGCGGGACTTCGGCTGCCGTAAGTGTCCCCTCCCCTTCCGTCCTTTCCGGCCCCAGCGCAGAAGCGTCGCCACCACGCCACGCCCGTGCTTTTGGCCCCACATGCGCCTTGCTGGTACAGCTTCGCTCGCTAAACGATACCATCATTGCCGACTCGACCATCTTCCGCTTAGGACGTATTCGAATAGCACGCATTTCAACATCTATTACGTCCATTTACGATACGATTTAAATTGTAGGTTAGTTTTATTTCGATTAGTCTATTAGCATTCTTTCAAGTTGAACGCAATTTTTTATTCTCTATTTAAGACAATTGAATAGTATCGTTATTTAAAGTACTTTTATTCTTTTACTTGAAAATCTGGTATTTCACAGTTAAATTAATTCTTATCCTGTTTTCATCTTTCTCCAGAAAATTCACATATATGTATCACTTTTGCTATTATCGGCACTTTTTGATATTATTATCAACAACATTATTACAAAGGGCATGATTATAAAACAATTTTCTCATTTTTCTATTATCCTAAATTTATCTGCACTTAATTTCCCATTTCATTTCCGCCTTGTCAAAAACCACCAAAAACAGTAAGATAGAAACGTAGGTAGCAGTTTTATACCTTCCCTGTACCTATAAATTTCTATTTAATTAAACTTAATATTTACGGCTTTACTGGCTCGTATAGGTCTTATGTTTGGTACAGCGATTCTCGATGGTATGTCGGTTTGTCGCGTTTCTAGAGTTAGGGGGTTGGTGTTTGTGTGGTAGGGGATAGGGGCAGTGTAGGCTAGGTGTGGGGTCGCACGTCGTGGAGGTGGGTAAGAGCGTGTGTTTGGGCAGCGCGGGAGCACCGCGGCGGCTGGGGCGGCGCGCGGCTGGCGAGGCTGGCGCGGCGGCTGCTGCCGGCCGCCTGCAGCCCGCACGGCGGCGCTTCGCCCCCCTACTCCAGAGGTACCGCGCCCCCACAGCATAACCTCAGCCTCAGCTGACCTCAGACCGATGAAGCCCTCTAACATTACGCTACTCCAAACAAAAAGAGATACTAAACCATATCTACGTGATTCTTTATCAAATTAAATGATAGAAAGTTTCAGATTTAGGTACTAGATTTTGTGTAGCGCAATGTAAGAATGGGTTTAACGCACACAATTTTACGCTTTGTCGTTAATCGTTGTAGGAATCGATTTTTCGAGATGTGGCTTAAGGAAAAATGTTTTAGTACCATCTAATAACCACAAGATGGCGGTAATTCAAATTTCTAACCATCAAAGTCACTGCATAACTTTACAATGTAAAAAATCGTCATAAATGTGGATCCGGATATCAAACCTTAAATTAATTTTAAGAATAATTAATTAAACTATAATTTTATGAATAAAGAATAAACATTCCGGTTTAAAAATTTAATTTTAACGTAGTACCTAATTTCTTTCTAACACTTCTATGCTATAACGTGCATGTTTGAACGCTTGCTCGCTTCATTTTGTTTTTAAAATGTTTTTATCGCTTAGGAATTTCTCAGATTATTTTTCCATTGAAAAGAATAATAAAATAGGATTTCCAAAAGACATTTCCAGGAAATCATATTACATGAGTTTAAAGATATAGTAAGTTTGTACCACCATAGACAAAACTCATTTTGGATGGTTGTATGGTTGAATATGTATGATTGTATCCTATTTATGGTTTTATTTTCTGTTACGTGTCAACGGAGCCTCAAGAGAATACTCATGATGTAGTATTCCAACATAAGAAGGTAAAAATAACATCGGTTTGACGCGTGCTGCTGTACCTGATCGTATTTAATCTGTGTTGCTATTCCCCTACGCTACTTATCTGTGCGCATTTTATTAATTCTAGCTTTTTTGAAAACAAAAGTAAAAGCTATTTACAGCCAAAAAATTAATTAACTATTCACTGTTCAAAATTATTCGCTATAATTTTTAAAATGCGCACATGAAAAGATGTTGTTAACATTCAGCTTTGAAGTGTTGGAGACGAGAAAGAGACACAAAATAATTATAAGTAAATATATTTAGATCATGTAAATATTTAAAGAATTAACCCCAATGCCTTAAACGCTCATCGCTTGTTAAAATAAAAATTAACATTAAAAATATTCTAACAAATTAAATATAATACAAATAAACTGTACTCGTAAAATTCAAGTTATGATATTAAAAATCCGTGTAATTATGATTTTCTATGTGTACTTATGAAATAATTGAATGTTCCAAGTAAAGAAAATAATTACGGTTTTTAAAAATACAAATTATCAGAATTATGATCTAAAAGCACAGTCATGGGGTCGGGTTGTTCCCGGGGCACTGGGGGTCGCATGTGAGCGATATGGGGTGTTGCAGCGCGCAGCATCAGCGAGGAGTTCAGCTCGGGCTGCGAGGGCCGCTCGGGCTCCGGCGGCGGTTCGACCGGAGCACCCGCCGACCAGGACCACCGGCCTGATCACAAGCAACATCGCGACAGGACCCCCGATGATAGGGATGAAGGTACATCGACAAAACAAGCAAAAAATACTAAGCTAAGGGAAATAGTAAAGTCTTTCACCATGTCAACTCCATGGACGGGACCCATCTGCAATAAAATAACACTTACCCCAATGACATAAGAATCCAATATAATGTGATTTTTAAGATGAATCTGTATTGCATGTCTGTATAAAATCAAATGAAATACTTACTAATCTTCAGGTTACTTTAGCTAATCGTGTGTTCTTTGTCATCCATCGTATACAGAGGTGGTCAAAGTGTACGACGGAGAGGCGGCGTGGTCGCGCCGGCTGTACCGGCCCGTGGTGGTCGGCCGGAACTGGAACGAGCGCGAGCTGGTCTCCGCAGCGCTGCGAGCCTTCCATGTAGCCCGTGACCCCGAACAGTTCGAGCTGACTGACGCCCTCGCCGGCGACGAGCCTCCTCTCAAGGACCCCACTCCCCTCGCGAGGGTCACACGCCTGCCTAACAAGAGACCCGCTCTGTTCCTACGTTTCAAGTAAGTTTCTTTATCTTACGGACTACGAAATATAAAATTACTGTTTTATTTTATCTGTACCATTATTGTTAAGGAAGAGTTGGCTTGGTTGACCTGGGGAGACTTTTTTTGAGATTAGAGAGTGGCAGTTGTATACTTTAATGGTGTGGTGTGCCTGTCAGGGAGCCGGAGAGCGGCGGGGGAGAGGTGCGCGTGTACCCGGGCCGCGTGGCAGGTGCGGGCGACACCTTCGTGACCGTAGCCTGCTCGGGCGAGCACGCCGTCGCCGACCTCATGGCGGCAGCTCTTGAGCGCTTCGGCCTCGACCCCGAGCGCGCCGTGCACGACTACCGCTGCTCGGAGATACTGCTCGATCGCGGAGGTTGGTACCTCTACGTTTTTAGGCGAGCTGAGTTTGCTGGAGTGATCATAACATAATATGTATCTTGTTATAAAACATTTTTGACCTAATTGCATTGTCAGCATCAGGGTCCGAAATGAAGATCCTCCTGAACTGTGTGTTTGTGTGATTAGTATCTGAGCGCGTGCTGGAGGAGGACGAGCGTCCATGGCGCATCGTGGTGCGTCTGGCGCGCGAGTCGGTGCGGCGCATGGAGCTGGCGCGGTTCTACCTGCAGCCGCGCCGCGACCCGCACGGCCCAACACTGGCGCTCTTCGTCGCCTCCCTGCCCCCGGGCCTCTCTGAGCGCAACTACGAGAACATACTCGTCGAGTTCCTCGGCACTGGTAAGTCCTACATTTTGTATGATCACAACAATATGACCCAACTAATGTCTTCCCAACACAATTTCACCAATATACTAAGTCAACATAGCTTTTAGGTTTCCTACACCCATATTTAATATCTAAACACGGTGTTTTCATCTATATCGCTGTCGCCCGCGATTCCGCTTATTAGTACTTCCAGACTATATTCTACGTCTATTTCAAATTTCATCGTGATCTGGTGAACCGTTCTGGAGATACCTTCTAAAATCTATCCATGTATCCAAACTTTTGCATTTATATTATATATTAGTAAGATTGTGTCCGGAATTGTACAGAAAACAAGTTCACGTCGATCGGGCCCATCTACTACGAGTACGGGTCAATGGTGATTACATACGAGGACGCCAGCAAGGCGGTGCGCGCGCTCTACGCGCTGCGGGAGGCCAAATATGAAGATAAACATTTATTAGGTAAAAATATCATCATAATTAAGACACTACATATTCCTTGTCGTTAGATCTATCTACCTATAACCACTTGCTTGTATGAACCTTGACATTTTGACACCACACGAGATAAATATACATCCTCCATAAAAATTTTAAGATCAAGTACTTAAAACTTATTAAAACATAATTTGGATAAGAAAATGCTGTGTCGTGTTGTGTTTTCAAAACCTTTTTACCTGCATTGGTTCATCGAGCAGGCAAATCTCTTCATTGTCACTTTAGCTGTGTAATCCGTTGAAAATTTTGACCCTCAGTGAGGACGACGTGAGCTGATGATGATACTTAATCGTGTCACCTATCCAGTCCATTCATCGCCTATTTAACCTAACCCCTACCAATGTATACATCGACTTTCGGAGAACAGAAAGGTTAATTTTAATATGTTATTTGTGTAGTGATGCTGCTACCTAGTATAGAGCCGTCTATGGTGCCTGCGGGCGTGAAGCCGCTGCTGGTGTTTGTGAACGTCAAGTCCGGCGGCTGCCAGGGTCTGGAGCTCATCTCCTCCTTCCGGAAGCTCCTCAACCCCTACCAGGTGTTCGACCTTGAGAACGGCGGACCCCTACCTGGGTCAGTATCCAATAATTAGTAGTTTATGACCTATACAAAGATTTGTACAGTGGTTTTTTAAAGATATTTAAGATATAGTAAAATTTAAAATTACTGAACTTACGTAAGTATATACGTCAGTAGGAAAACTATTTACAGAAATATTTTAAATGGGCTATATTGTTTTTGGTTATGGTGTGTGCAGATTGTACGTGTTCCGTCACATCCCCAACTACAAGATCCTGGTGTGCGGCGGGGACGGCACCATCGGCTGGGTGCTGCAGTGCCTCGACAACGTGGGCCAGGACTCGCAGTGCTCCAACCCGCCCTGCGCCATCGTACCACTCGGCACCGGTAACACTTAACCCATATTTACTACTATTACTTTATGTGTCTATATCTTTGATGTCCAACTTTTACATAAGGGGAGATATCCTCTTTCTGCGTATCTCCTCCCTCGACTGAAGGTTGACAAACGCATCTATAATTGCGTTTGTCTATGGGCAGCAGTCGCTTCGTCATTAAGGCGAATTCAGGTCGTTTTCTAACTTATAATATTATATAAAAATATATTGTATTTCGCTGATATTTCCGATCATTTGTGAAGCGTAACAGTATTTTAGAAGTTACCTGAAAATGTTAAAGAATAAAATGCCATTTTTTTTCGGAGTGTCTTATAGTGGTTTTGCAATAATATTTCTAATTCCATGGTAATAGGGAACGATTTGGCCCGTGTGCTGCGCTGGGGCTCTGGCTACACAGGCTGCGAGGACCCGCTGTCGCTGCTGCGTGACGTCATCGAGGCGGAGGAGATCCGCCTCGACCGGTGGACGGTCGTCTTCCACCCCGAGGACAAGCAGGACGAGCCCAAGGAGCTCTCCAAGCAGCTGCCTGGTCAGTGAATGTTTTACATGACAAACACTCGCACAACTAAAATTGAACCAACTGGACCTTAACTTTTACTAAGTACTTATATAAAAAAATACTTAAAGACTAGGCTTAAGTCACTGAAAGGCGTCTTTGTTTAGAACTGATGTCATTATAAGAATAGATAGAAAAAAAGCAGACTGTCGCTTGCTGTAAAATAATTCTTTATGAACATAACACCAAAGGAACATACTAAAAGAATTGCTGGTAGGTTAACTTTTATATGCATTTTCTTAGCAACAAATTATCAGTTACGTAAGTATTTGTGCCTATACTAATGTGGTTTTCTGAGACCAAAATCCGTTCAAAACATATTGCTATCTCTGTTCTTTCAAACTGGAAGTTTTTGGTCTCAGAAAGCAACAGTTAGTTATGTCCATTTGGTGCGTTGTTTGAGATGTCGCTCACGTTGCAGCGTCTGTGACCACAGGGTCGCAGAGTGAGGACAACTCGCAGATACTCGTCATGAACAACTACTTCGGCATCGGCATCGACGCTGATCTCTGTCTTGACTTCCACAACGCCAGGGAGGAGAACCCTAACAAGTTTAACAGCCGGTAACCTTCGCCTTACTTAAAAATATTCAGCTCATAGGTGGACAACATGCAAATCGGGACCCTTGGTCCGTGGGGTCCTAGCAACCTTGGACAAAGAATTAGTACAGCTGAAGGAGGAAAGCTGCCAGTATCTTCGGAACCTTGCCTAAAGGGACTAATAATATATTTTAGTTAATTATTCGTTTATTATATTTTATTTAGTATCAAAGATTTAAAACTTATATATATGAATATACATTAATGTTGAATTATTTAAAAAAAAATCTTTGCACCATTACACAGGCACGGCCCCTCAGTGGGGACGTATAGTGAGCTGATGATGAAGATGATGGAGCACTGTCTTTATAGTCTAGTTTTTTATTATCGAGTATGATACATATAACACGCGGCATGTTATATAGATTACGCAACAAGGGCGTGTACGTGAAGATGGGTCTGCGCAAGATGGTGGGTCGCAAGATGTGCAAGGACCTGCACAAGGCGGTGCGGCTCGAGGTGGACGGCCGCCCTGTAGACCTGCCTGCTGTCGAGGGCATCATCATACTTAACATACTCAGGTAAATAACACCTACAATAAAATAGGGAATATACAGATATAAAAAACAACAATTTCTACTTTTAGGAAGAAAATCCGACCCTGCCGGTGTACTGGCGCAACACTAGCCTTACTATAATGTCGACGTTTATGTCCCCTCACTAATCATGACACTTGACTTGGTAACGAAAGCACGTCATTCGCGCCAACTAATAATGACTAAAACTAGTCATGCCTTTTTTAGAATTAGATTGGATTTTTTTTAATAAGGAAGGTTTCCTTCATATTCTAATCGTTGGTTTCTGAGACCAAAATCTATCTGTCATCTGTGTTTTTGACAAAATAGAGGTAACGTTATGTTTTAAACGGCGATTTTGAACTCTGAAATTCACAGTAAGAGAATTTAAATTGACTAATAATCAACTCAAACCAAATCTATTTGCTAATTAAAAGTTTTTTTTTTTAATTCAACCCAGTTATTTTTATATTAAGTGTATAAAACATGAGTGACGTTCATTAGCTGGGGCTCGGGCGCAAACCCATGGGGTCCGGAGAAGGATGACCAGTTCAACAAGCCCAACCACTGGGACGGCATGCTGGAGGTGGTCGGCGTCACCGGCGTCGTGCACCTCGGCCAGATACAGTCCGGCCTGCGTGGTGCCATGCGGATAGCGCAGGTTCACAACACAACACAACAACACGCACAACTTACTAATCTCATAAATAATATCCATTGTTACTTCATATTTATCATGGATTTAGTACGAAAAATGAAAAAACGAAGCAGCGATACGCAGCATTACAAGGCCTGTCATATGAAGAAAAATTTAAAAAGAACATTTTACTTTTATTTCTAGGAAAAAGTTATTGGATTATGCAATCTACCAACAATGAGTACATATTTCAGGGCGGACACATAAAGATAAATCTGAAGAGCGAGATCCCAGTGCAGGTGGACGGCGAGCCGTGGGTGGCGGCGCCCAGCGAGGTGGTCGTGCTCAAGTCCGCCCTCAAGGTACACCTCCTCCTCCTACACTCTCACTCGCTGCTTGTCTCTGCTCCCACACTGACACTTATAACTTTGTCATGCATGTTTGTCAAATTCATTCGTGAATGTACGCACTCACCTTTATAAATAGACTGACTAGATTTCCGCCATTTTGGCGCTGATAGCTGCCGTGTAATTTAGATAGAATTAACAGTCACGTAACAATAATCGGATCTCCAAATTATCATTTCCAAACAATAGCCAATTCATTTATACAAATCAGTGAATGTTCGTCACGAATGTTCATTCGTCGTTTTCTTCATACCGTTTTTTATGTTCGCAAATGAGAAATTAATAAGAAATCTAATTAAGACCACACTAATAAAATTGCTTTTCATTCTGTCGTAAAAATAATATCATTTTCTTTTCCAAAACTCTCTGGCTTGAAGCAGCTATTCATTTGCACTGTATAAGCATGGATTATATGTGCATAATTTATTTTTCACTAATTTTGAATGTAAATAATATTAACGAATACAAACAAAGACGAACAACTCAAATTTTTGTCCGAATTGTAAAAGTATTTTTTATACACCATGTTATTTTTTTCCCGCGCTTAAACGCAGAGCAGCGCCGGCACAAGGCGCTTTTTCGTTTATTTACAAATAGCTTTTTAACGTTATAACGAAAAAACGCAACGAGTCAAAAGCAACGTTAACGGTTAAAACTGCATTTTTCGTTAAAACGTTTTAACAGCTGTGAAAACGTTATTTATGCATCACTGTTTAGCACTATGCGCATAGAACATATTATAGTTATTTTTTAAACCCTCACATGCCTGACATCATTCCAATCATCTGTTTTTTTTAAATAAATCCCCAGACGCTATTCCATAGAATTATTTCTGTTAAATAACGTATTTAAATGTTCATAGTAAGTATAAATCTCTGATATGTTTGTGAGGATGTAAACATACTATGAGCTTTCGCCTATAGTGCTTTATATTATCTATATATGATATGAATATGTATGTATACATATATGTATGTATGTTGGAAAACGTTTTCTGGCGTCACATCGCGCCGGTCGCATCGCCTAGAGCCGGCGCTGCTCGAACAAACATTTTGCTTTAGATGTTTGCAAGTGAAAATGTTCGTTCAATGGTCACGCGGTCAGCTGCCATGATTCGCTGTACACTGCCGAGAAAAAACATAAATTGAGTTGTCTGTTCTTCAAATTGAACGATTAGGATTATAAGCCGAAACGTGGGACTTACGCGCCATTTTTATTAAACAATAGCCATAATAGTGTTCGTATTTACATATTAAATGTAAATAACGCCAACTTCTTTTAATAAATTAAATTAATATACGTTAATTTATAATGATAAATTGAATCAACGTGAGGATGTTATATATCACAAGAACTAATTTATATATAGATTATAAATAATAAATTACGAAAGTTTTAAGAAAATTGTTAAATCTATTTTAAGTTAAAGCATTAAAGCATGACTTAATTTTATACCAACGTCATTTATCCAGAAATAAATTTAAACAATAATTAGATTACAACTATTTATTCGATCGAAATCATTTTGCATTAATTTTACAAACATCCAAAATGGCGTCAAAGGCAAAAGCCTATCGACCGTAGAGCCACGTAGATACAGTTAGATTAGGAAGTGCGCGTAAGTCCCACGGCGCGGCGCCGTGGCTGAGGTGCTGTGGCCGGCAGGCGACGATGCTGAAGAAAACGAAGCGCGGCTCGGGGTCCGCGGGCCCCGGCGGCCCGTAGCTGAGCGCGCGCTTCCGCAGGCCACGATGCTGAAGAAGCGCGGCAAGGTGCGCCGCCGCAGCACCGAGCCCAGCCTACCGCCGCCGCCACCGCCGCCGCCGCCGCCGCCGCCGCCGCTCCCGCCCGACTCCTGAATCTGGCTCAGCGAGCGCCTCATCTGACGCCGCCCCGGGCTCAGGGCAGCGGAGGCGCTCGCCACTCCCTATCCGTAGTCGTAGTCATTTCATAACTTAAAAAACCTCTGTAAATAAAACTTAAAAAAAAAAACAAATAATATATAACTTAATGAACAAATAAATTTATAGTCATTAGTCGTTGTTTCATTTCTAGACGGGTATGTTTGACGATGTGTATAAATAAATGTTTCAATGTGTAAATATGGTTTTATTTTATTTTGGCCTTGTGTGGGTAATGTATGAAATATGTATGTATGTGCCCGTCTTATATATCAACAAATGTAGTAGCTAGTGTGTCATAGTTATGTCATAGAATAGATTTGATTATAGTTTTTGTCTTCTAATTTTGCTATTATATTTCTAGACTGATTGTAAATTGCTGAAACTTTATTGAATACTAATACTTGTTTACATTACCTCTATAATACTAGAAAAATTAAATAATTATAGTGGTTCAAGTTTCATAACAATGTAATACGTGTATGATATTACATACAATTATTTAATCAATATTTATTATAATTGTATAAGTAACCTAATAAAATATTATTCTACAGACCTTCATTTTAATAATCTTTTTGTAATTATTATTATTTTTTTTTTACCTTTTGCTTAGGATAAAGAGTTTTTATGTATTTCGTAATAAATTCGTGGTGGATTTATATTGATTTTATTACAAAATATCAACGTATTACAATCATCTTGTACATAAGTAAAAAACACATTTAGATATAGTTAAAAATATCTGTATCTGTAAGAATATCTGTAAATCTGCCACTAATTTATATATAAAAAAGAATTAGATAAATTAGGCATAAATATTTATGTAAGAAAATCATCATATCCCTGTCCTTGTCCCACTCACGTAGAGGGTACGAGTTTAAGTCCACTAATCAATCTATCTTTGTCATCTCAGTCGTCTTCTATATCATGTCAAGTAATCCATCCATCTCTTTCTAAGCGTACCACTACTAGTAAACCTTCTACAATAATAATTAGAAATTAGAATACGTTACATCCTAAATAATCATATAAATAATTTAAATGTAGTTTTCATAGATAACTATATAGCTAGTTTATTGAACAATTAAACATAAAGAAAGAATTCAAATAGATTTTGTTCCATAATTCTATCCCAATTACAAGCTTTGTATGAGGGAGAAAGAGCATAAGGAAAATGTATCTAATGTTACCAGTTAAGAGATTTGAAAAAATAACTTTTTAATTATAAATCGTAATTGTTAAACATAAAAAGGTCATAAACTTTTTCTATGGACATAAATTATTAGAATAAAATAAGTGAGATTTATTATGAGCCAGTTATATTCAAAAACCTCGTATTTATTTTAAAAAATCATATTTAGGTGTTGTATTTATCTATGTTTAATAGCAAAAAATGCTTTTAATAAAAATTATATATTATAATTTTTTTAATTAACATGCAAAATGAATGTTATTTGTGTTATTGCTCCTAAAATAAAATTACTTAATCAAATTTATATGTATTTTTAATTTATGTATTAAAATATAAATAAATAAAAACCCAATTTTAAATAAATTATGCTTTATTCTCAATATTTATACAGATAATGAAACAAAATGGAGTAACATTTCTTAATTCAAAATCAAAGTCTTAAAATTATTACAAAAAAAATCATCACGTGATTTCCGGTAGTCATTTTAATTACAATTTGTAGTTTCAATTTAATAAAAAAAATTAATAGATTCGTTAATTAAATCATACAAAATTTTTAACGAATAATAATAATTTTTAGCGAAAATACATATTATATGTACATATTTTTTACATTTATGAATAGATAGAAAATAGCTTGTAGGAATAAGCTTCGACGTGTTATATTCCTAACAAATAAAGGACAAGTTTTGAAAATCGGCAAGTAAAGCTTAATCACTCTCTATAATATTACAGACCTACAAAAATCTTCGCCTTGACAGTAATTTACAAAATGGCGGTCCTTAAATAACACACGCACGCTTTTCGCATTATTAGTTTATATCTCTATTTTTTTAGGCAAATAATAATAAATTTCGAATTAATCAAGGATTTAAGTAGAAAAATACTTTTGTTGTATTGTTTTTTTACATAATATTTTTTTTTAATTTTTATTATTGCATTTCTTTTAGTTGCGTGAATTATGTACAATAGTTAAGTGCTTGAAGTAAGAACATCGCTACATTGCGCCTCTGTTGTGCGTTCATATGGGCTACACAAATCACAGATTATAAAAAAAGGAAAAAAAAACGAAATATACAACTTGTTTCTTTTTTTTTTAATAATCAATTAACGAAAAGAAAAAATGTTTGTAATAAAACCCGATTCAAATAAATGTTATTTTTAGAGAAAAAAAATATATCTCTAAATTTAAACCCGCATAAGAGTTAGCGCCCAAAATATATTATTTTTATCTTCACTTAACACTTACATTGTAATTATATAATCTGTTGACTTTGCATCATGGCAACATTTATAAATACAAATGACATTTACAACAGAATATACGCACCCACTTTCCAAAACGTTTACCTAAAACCAACAGATAAAATGTATTAATTTTTACACTAAACTCAGAAATTTACATGTAATACTAAAAAAATTACACACTTCACTCTTAAAGAGTGTAATGTGTAATTTTATTTTTTGTGTACACAAATGCGTGTTCAATATGTGTACGTTAGCGGATCTAGGAGGGACTAAAGAGGTCGAGCCTTCCAAATATCAATCCTGTATGCACCATTAAGTGTATAGTATACAGCTATCGCCCGCAACTCCGTCTGCGCGGTATAAAAAAAAAATTAATAAGTATCCTAGACGTTTTTCAAGACTATGTATTACATTCTTCCAGCGAGATCCGTTTAGCCGTTCTAGAGATACCAAACAAACATCCATCCATCCAAACTTTCGCTTTTATAAAATTAGTAAGATTTATACGTGTAAAAGTGTACGTGTGTAAGTGTACGGGAATGTGTGTACAAGTGCGTGTACATACGTGTGCGAGGCGAGGGGTGCGTGTGCCTCAGCAGTGTATGCGCGGACACGGCTGAAGGCGAAGGGCGGGAACTTGTTAGGTGTGAGGTCGAACTGTGTCCACTGGTCACGCCGCGAAGACACCGCGTAGTGCCGCCATGACAGTTGCCAGTTGCGTCGTGAGCGCACGTTGTGCAGTTCCAACTCCTGAACAATTACACAGCGAATACACATTATTGTGTATAATAAATACACAAATGCATCGCAGTTTACACACGGTCACTCAAATCAACTTTCATGTATAACTGTCGTGTAACGTGATAATTATTTTTAGGCATAATTAGTTAGAATCATTTGGCGCAAAATGACGTGCTTTCGTTACCAAGTCAAATGTCAGAATGATTAGTGAGGGGACATAAACGTTGACATTTTAGTAAGGCTAGTGTTGCGCCAGTACACCGGCACACTGTCGGATTTTCTCCCAGACACTTTAAATGAATTAAACAAACGAATGCCATAGCTAATTTTTTAGGGTTCCCATTTCATTACTGTAAGACAAAATGTGTAATGGCTCCATTTAAAATATACTATAAATTATTATGCTTGTGTACTGACCAGATGGAATATCTGTTCGTGATGTTCGAGTGTCTCCTTCCTGCGCGAACGGAAGCGCGTGTTGCTCGCGTGCGCCGGCTTCTTCTCGCTGCTCACCTTTTTTATAACTATCACAACCTAAATAAAGTACAATGATTATAAAAGGAAAAAAAGAGAGTCGGTGGCTCAGGAGTTAAACACTTGACTTGTAATCTGCAGGTTTTGGGTTTGAATCCCTTCATGTACCAATGTGTTTTTCGATTTACATATGTAAATTTATGCGACATTCTTATGGTGAAGGAAAACATCATTATGACACATAATGTGTGAAGAAACTCAAAGATGTAGAAAGTCAACCCGCACTGGGCCAGCGTGGTTGACTATGACCTAGTCACCTCTAACTTAAGGTAGGCTACGATCCCCTCAGGGGGACGTATAGTGAGCTGAGAATGATGATGATGATGATGATGAAATAAAAGAAAATTAAACAACCAGAAGGTTAATTACTAACTAATTGATGACTAATTGATTACAAATTGATTCCTCAACAATTAATTTTAACTGCATTATAAGTGCTTCCGGGTAATGTGTACATAAACACGTATACATCAAAATACATATATTAGTGTAAATGTGTACAGATGTTATATGTAAATGTTAACATGTTTGGATACGGATATAGATGAAGGATACGGATTCGGTTTATCTACCTTAAGGATACCTAACAAGTTGCACATTATAACATAATAAAATTGCAAAGACCTTATCCCCGACGAGCCTGTAATGTCCGGGCATGATGCCGAGGCTGGGCTTTGCTGCGCGGTGCTTCAGCTGGCCCACACATGACGCCGGCTCCTCTGCCGTCGTCCACATCAGCACCACACCGTCAGGGAAGAACCTTTACACCATTCAGATACTTTAACACTAGCAGTTGCTCGAGGAAAAAATCTAGTAATAAATATAGTCTTTATCACCAGGGGATTGTGTAGCTTCTCGACAATGGAAACAATGGCTCCGAGTTTTCGGAGCCTATTCAATATAAAGAATCAAATCGCGTTTTAATATTAATATAGATATCAGTCTGATATATTCAAAATCGTTAAATGATTTAAGCAATACTTTATTTGTTAATGTCTCACAGTAACACTCCACTAAGGGACGCCCTTAGTGGCACATACCGACTTCATACATACCTAAGGTACCTATAGTAATCGACGAGATACCAAGGCCGATAGGACTGGTCCTGATAGGAGTTCTCTCCATGACGTAGGTACGTGGTCTTGCTGATGTAGCAGCCGTGAAGGTGGATACGAGGTCTGTCTATATACATCTGACGCCAGGATGTGAACCCGTGTCCACGAGGGACCCCACATTCTATACCCCAAGTCCTGAAATGTCATCACCAAGCTCAGAACATCGCACATAACGTTGGGCAGAACACAATTTTTATTGTGGAGAGGCGCACTACTAACTTGACACACAACAGCCGCCAAATGTCAGGCTCTCTAGCTGCAAGGTAGAGACCACGACAGGTTGCCGATATCCTCTCCAGTGTGACAGCATCCAGGTCTGCGCTGACCGCCCAGCGCAGCACCAGTTGTACCACCTCGTACGGCAGCCATGATATGTGACCACCCTGACACAAACCAAAATAACAAACTATAATAATAACAGAAATCAACAAACATATTGTAATTCCATGACAAACAGGAGAAAAATATGAGTCGAATAACACTTCACTCTTCAATATTGTTCGAGAAACATAGGCTACAGGTTACAACAAAATCTACAGACCAAAAATCTTACGTCTTACTAATATTATAAATTCGAATATTTAAATGGATGTTTGTTTGAAGGTACCTCCTAAAACAGCTCAATGGATATATATGAAATATGGCAAACATATAGACATCTAGAAGAACACCTAGACTACTAATTATTTATTTTTAAGTTCCGCGCGAACGAATTCGCAAGCGATCACTAGTATATTCTAAACAGAGAACTTTCCAGAAGGAAAATATAAAACGAGAAAAAGCAAAAAATTCTTACCCTTGTAGTGAACTCCGGTTGGCAGAGTGTTCCCTTCCTTGCAAGAATCCTCTGCAGCCGAGTCACGAGGTCCTCACCTTCTATCATTTCATCATCACTATCTACATCCTCCACTTCTCTTACTTCTTCCACTTTCAGTTCCTCTGTAAAGTAGTAAGTAATATTAAAAACAGTAAAAACTCTTTGTATAACATTGGTTGAAACCATAAGTAACAGAAAGGCTAACTGCATTATAGACAATACTATCTTACTAATATTATAAAGGCAAATATTTGGATGTATGGATGGATTAATGGATATTTTAAGGAAATTTGCCACAGATAGAACATAATCTGGAGACATAGGCTACTTATTAAGTTTTTTATTTGTTCCGCGCGGACGGAGTCGCGGGCGACAGCTAGTATTAGTAATAAAGATAATAGAGATGTTACAATTGGAAGCTTGAAATGGGATCACAATTTATTTGAGCATCCTCTAAACAAAAGCTCATGTTTTAAACACTACAATATTTTGATTATTTAACTTCATACAAAGTGTAAAATTGAAAAAAATTAAAAACGTAATTTTTTTTAATTTTACACTAAATACACACCAATAGGAGTATCAGCTCTATGATCAGTGCTCTCATAAAGTCTAGTCTCGACATCAGGACAAATCTGCATTGACCGTTTGTAATGTTGGATGGCTTCATACAGTTTTCCGCTCCTCTCCAATTCCACACCACGGAGGAAAAGCTGCTTTGCCTGGTAACATATACAACAAAGTTAATAATATTGCAATTACATACTTAAATTAACCCTAAAATAATAGATTTGTGGCATTTTTTTTATTGCCTCACCACATCTTAGAACAAGTTTCTTACTTAGCCTAGAACTTATTCCGAATGATTCATGATCATCAGCACACTAGATGACCCCATTAAGAGGCTCAGAGCCTACTCTAAGTTAGGGGTGACTAGACCTGTCAACCATGCTGACCCAGTGCGGGTTGGTTGAATTCAAATTAAAAAAAATTGCAAACATTTGAATACTATTATTATAACTTGTCAATATGTATATATGAATAACCTTTTCTTCATCACTAACAGGTTCTTCAGGTTCCAATTTTGTCTGTTGTCGAGGTGGTTCTCTGTGCGGTGAGGGAGTAGCCTCTAATTCACGCTGCCACTGCTGTCTAAATGCTGCCAACTCATCTTCACCTTCAGTTACCTGAAAAAATATAAGCAATATCATTATAATTATTAGTCAATTATTTTTTACAGCAAGCTGTACTAACTTGAGGATTAACATGTAAATATTTATCAAATTCATTTAAAAAGACATTAAACATTGTGTAAATGGGGAAGTTATAGGGCATCAAAAGAGGGAATTAATTAAATAAAATGAGATAACTCTAGAAGGTTGAATATTAAAAAATAAAATTACCTGAACATTGGCTAAACTCAATTTCTCCAAAGCATCACGGGTTTTTAATAGCTTATTGGTAAGAGAGGAAGAAGAATCTTCCTGCTCATCACTGGAGGTAGATGCCTACAAATTTATATACAATCTAGTAATAAACTTTATAATTTTAGGTAATTTACTACAGTATTTTACAAAAAAAAAACTATAAAACTAACTAAATAAAAAATAAGAAAACTTGTCAGTCTTTACAACATGCAGATACCGTGCTTAGTATCATCCAAAATATTGTGAACTTTATGTGCAATTTATTGACTTCTAACTTAAATGTTCTCACCATTTATAATAAATCTCAAATGTAAATTATATTTAGGTTATTAAATGGTAGTGTGTTGTTTATTAATCCATCATTCGGAGCATTTCTTTTACTTAAATTATAAAAAATAGGACATCTATTTCTTGATAACAAATAGACAATTGTCAACAACCTGTCAATGTCAAACTGACAAACCTGAGAAACTGTCAACCTGACACTGTCATATTAAGAACGCAAAACAACTTTTGCATCGTTAGGTTTAAAAAAATATTTCTTCAACAATTTTAATTTCTCCTTCTCCACAATTTAGCTAATCAAAGTAGTTGAACAACTAAAATTGTTAGAAATGGCTTCAGCAGTAGAAAAGAATATTGACAACTTAGGTATGCATGCTTCTTCTTCTTTTCAGGAATATGAAGCCACTGATGGGTAGGGGCTTCCCCAAAGATCGCCACGATGATCATGTTATACATGAATATTTAGAGTTACTTTTCACCTGTTGCTGGTAATATTAACTTGCAGTTAATAATTTATAATAGCAATGTAGTAGGACAACAATAATTTAGTTTACAAGACATTTATCTGACTTGCATTCATAGAATAGCGTGATCTTGGCAGAGGATGTCCTATAACAGAATGAGTTGATTAAGTAATTTATGTTACTGATATAGATAACATTTATGCAAGGAAACTTGCTTTTACCACGAAATCAGCTTATACGTCTTTACGCTATTAAATATTATTCTAGGTTCTAAAGAAAAAATACTAAGTAGACAATTTCTAAGGAAACTTTTCATGGTTTCTGCAAGCCACCCAATGATATTTCAACATTTTCGTAGCCACGCAGAAATAATAGTAGAACGACACCGTCAAATCATAGAAGGAGGAAAAGATGTTATCCATCCCTATAGTAAGTTCAGGTAAAGTATAGTAAATCTTAACCGTCATCATAAACTTAAAAAAAACCAGACGAATTGAGAACCTACTCCTTTTTAAGTTGGTTAAAAGTGAAAACGTTTTGAACCATGGCGTGTTACGCTATTTCCATGGAACTGAGAATAATACGAGATTCAATTTATTTTGAATTTTTAGTTTATTTTGGTGCAGTTTCATGATCGTGATAAACATTAGCCACATGGTCAGCTCGTCCTTCCGACTATGCTATATCCTGGAGACAGAAGAAGGCCCTACACTTCATGTCGTAGATTCCATATTACTTGGTCTACATGTTGTATGTTTTATCGACATGTGTATTAATTTCAAAATGGGTTACCGAAATGTCGAGAAAAATATCGTGGTGAATCGAAGCAGAATTATTTGGTGAGTGATTTATTAAAATAACGCGTACATGTTGAGCGCTGATATTATTAAAATTATATATTTTAAATACAAAAACAGCAATATATTTTTACAAAATTTAATAAATAAAATTAATTTGTCACGGAAAAATACTTCAAAATACATTTTCTTTCCACATCTAAATTTTCCATTAGTTTCAACAGTAATACGTTAATACTGTGGGTTTTCAATGTGAAAAACAAAAATTATTATTTCTGTTATTCTTCATTTTTTTTTAAGGCTATGCGTTGGAATTTTTTTCTTTTCGATCACTGATTTCCAATAGGGGCTGGTTCAAACCTCGCGCCTCGGCACGTTGAGTACGATCTTCTTCTAATCGCTTCTTCCTAGCGTCCTTCAATTCTATGCCTTTCGAAATGGCTTGTCGAATCCGCTGATCTAATAATCGCGTCTGTCTAGCTTCATCCGATTGTAATCTTCGCGAAATAGCGTGTCGTTGGCAATCTTTTTGTAGACGTTGCACTCTAGACACATGAGATTCTCGACGCCTTCGCAACGATTGACTGAGTCTTTGTAACTCTAAACGTTCATTCCTCTCTGGGCTTCGTTCCATTGATCTACGCAAGGCTTGCCTTACACGACAATCTGTCAGTCGTTTTTCTCTAGCCTCTTGAGTCTCATTTGCTCGTCTTAATCTTTCTATCTTCGCTCTCTTAGAATATGATGAAAGTTTTGACTTTCTTCTAGGCATGATATTGATGTTAATGCAGTAAAGTGCAAAATAAGAAAAAATCTATTTCAAAATTAGTACTTCATAAAAATTAAATACAGGTTAATTTCAATGTAAAATGCAAAGGACGTAATAACTGAAATGCAACAGAATAAAATAAAAATAGGTAAGAACTAGCGGATCTCTCTTACCACTGAGGTCAACACTGGAAAATCAAGATAGTGTTCTAGAAAAATGGGTTTCTAGGTTAATGGTACCTTATTTTAATCATAACATTTTGGTTCATTCTAAAAATCATCTCACGTTGGGAGGGACAGTTCCGCTGTCAGGCAGTCCCGCAATAGCAAAAAATAATTGGTTTTAACCATACCTCAACCACTATGTTGTATTTATGTCGAATTTATAAAACTATGGGTTGGATACGGATTTTTGGTTAATATAAAAATCAACTTATATCGTTAATAACACGGACTCCAAATGATAACATGATTTTTACTAATAAAATAAAATTGAACATAAGCGTTCATTACACAAAAAACATAAAAATGTATCACCAAATTCCATTTAACTTCATAATCAGTATAATAACATCGTATGACTAATTAATTAGTGCAATAAAAAAATAATGAAATAAATCATTCTAGTAAATAGTAAAATGCAAACAAGTTTAATTGTCATATCAATGTCAATGTCAATCGTCCATAAATCAATGACAACTGACATGAGCAACAAATAATTCGGTACAGCTGTGTTGCCTTATCACAATCCTTAAAATTGTTTCAATACCATTTTTATTAAATTGATTGCCTGGTAAATAAAAAATTATAAATTTTGAATTTCTTGTAAATGGGCATTATTTACGGGGCTGGTTCGTGGTGGACTTCGTGTCGTGCGTGCCGCTGGCATACGTGCTCCTACATATGGAGCTGACCGGCTACCGCTACCTTCTACTCGGCCACCTGATGGCGATGCTCCGAGTGCTGCGGATCGCCACCGTCGTTCTCAACTTGAAGCCTTTTATGCTGGTGGCTATGACATAGTATTAGTAGATTTTATATTTCTCAATTGAAAAAATATCGCCTAAAATATGTTATTTTTTTTCTTTATGTACTTATAGTTGTTCACGGAATCGTACATATGGCACCGCACGGTGCGGCACACGCTGCTCTTCCTTATATCAGTGCACTGGACTAACTGCATTATTTACATCCTGCCTGCTCTCGGCTATTACTGTAAGAACTGCTTTATGATTACTGCTGTTTAATTTTGTCACAAGTGGGTCGCGTGCGGATTTAACCCATACGGAGAATAATACTAGAAATAGATAGGAAAGATATAAAAACCATGCTCTCATACTTTTTTCAAATTAGGGACGGGCAAGATGCCCAGGCAGTACACGCTGTTCCTCAACAGCACGAGCGGCGACCTGTCGACCTATTCTCCCGGCATGCGCTACAACAAGGCGCTCTTCATAACCCTGAGCGCGTTAGTCGGTTAGACAACAATTTTTTAAGAATATGTATTAAACGAAGAATTTTTAAGGTTGCGCTGGATGTGAAGTCTCGCATTTGCAGAACTTCAGTGCTCTTAGAGTGGCAAGTGTTCTCGGGTGTCAGATTTCTTAACATTAGACGAAGCTTTACTCGTTTCTCTTCTCCAAAAGTTTATTTCCATTTAAAGTTTAAAATTGCAGCTACCTTAAAATATGGTAACTTTTCAGGAGTCGATCCTTCAATGCTCAAAGTTTCAACAGTTGAAGAATTTGTCTGCTATTCCCTTATTGTATTTTACGGAGCAATGTTCATGGTGTACACGATAAGTAAGTCAAGCTTATACTTACACGCTTCCTTCCTTCCCCCTTTCTGTCAACCATGAGAGCCTTACACGCTTATGATACTTAATTTAATTTCTGGAAGAAATGCCCAATGGTTGTGCCTAAACATACTTTCCTCCTGTTTATACCAAATGTTTTAAACTATTGCAGTTTTCCTGTTGAAAATATATATGACATACTACAACTCTGCAACGCGTTACCATGGACTTCTCAGTCAGATGGAGGTGATGAGGTCTTCGTGATACTACTTCTAAACATCGCCTCATAATGATGTATTTTAAAACATCATTTTCGTTGTTCTCTAACTCTTCGTTTAGGCATTTATTGCCTTTGCAGGCTAAAATGCAAAAAATTAAGAAGTGGATAGGATGAGGCTCGTGCCTCCAAAACTTTTAATTCTATCCCGACACGATATTTGGCAAGCTTATGCTCCCTTTCCATCTATTTACTAAAATGTTTACCGCAACGAAATGTCTATTCGCCATGCTACTTTATTTCATTTTAACTAATTTTTTATTAGGCTTATATGCAACACAAACAGCTCCCAGCTCAACTGAAGACACGACTAAGAGAGTTCTACAGGTACAGATACCAGGAGCAGTACTACAAGGAGGACGATACGCTAGAATGTTTATCAGGTTATTTTTCGCGATTTAATGAAATTGTAGTATAGATGTGTTGGGGACTATTCAAATAAAATTATAGCAATGTTGCCACATTTTGTCACAACAAATTAGTAAATTTTCTTTTCGGAAATCACTATCAACGAGCTGGCATTTCCGCTTCGAAGAGAATGGTTGGTAAAGTATATGGTCGTTGGTTCCGGTTACCAGTATAATTTGATTAAAACTTCCCGGGCTTTTTGTGTTAAATAAAATTCCAGCTCCTAGTCTCTTTTGGAGAGTAGCTCTATTAAAACTATCACAGCTTTACAATTAAAATTTATATTCAGTTTAGAACCTTTAACCTATCTAAATGCATCTGTCGATTTATAACAAGTTGTTTTATTACTGAGCAGATCAATTACGTCACGAGATAATTCTGCACACGTGCTACAAGTTGGTGAATCGCCTGCCGCTGCTGGAGGGGCTGCCGGCGAGTGTGGTGGGCGCGGTGATGGGCTGCCTCAAGCCCGAGGTGTACTTGCCCAATGATCTGGTGATGCGCGCGGGTGACAACGGGGATTGCATGTACTTTATAGCTAATGGAACGGTCGCTGTTTACTCCTTGAAGGGAGTTGAGGTTACTTGATATTTATAAAGTTTATTTTTATAAGATTCGGTCATTCAGGAACGAATCTGGAGCGAAATATCAAGAATTAACTCAATGAATGCATATATAAGACTGTGTGTATCCACATCCAGGTTTCCTCCCATCCCTTACTCCCTGTCTTTCAGTACATATATCTGGAGTCTGTTTGATCATTAATCATCTGAACCCCTTCCTGTTATCTCCATTCTATAAAGATTTGCCACCTAGAAGATGGTGACCACTTTGGCGAGGTGGCACTACTGATGGCGGACAGCAAGCGCGTAGCTACCGTCGTGTCAGTGGAGATCACGCAGGTGTACCGGCTCGACGCTGTTAACTTTCGGTATTATTGTGCATAGCAATTTAGATAATGAAACAACTAGATCCAACAATGGACTCTTATATCCTATCAACCATAAACTTTTAACATATTTCTGAGTCTCCTATGTACAAAATTGTATGTTTTCAACTAAAAATTTACAGGGTTTTAAACATTATTCGTATTTTACTTTAAAATGAACATAGCTAATTTAATTACATTAAAATAAAACCATTGTGCAAATGTCAAAATTGTGGGATGCAATTTAAGGCTGATTTTACATTTCACAGACAAATAGTAAAGACAAACCAATTGCTGTACAATCGGTTGCAAGAGCTGGCAGCTCAACGGATGCATGAGACGGTGGTATTGGACGATGAGTTCCGTAGACAGCGGGAGAAGCGTGTGGAACTTGATGCATCTGGTACCACATTACTCAGCTAACACATTCATGACAACAAAATAATTAAAAATATATTTTTTTCTTTCTTTCTTCCTTTATGTCAGGAAAAAATGTCTAATTTATATGTCTAATATTTATAAAAACATATGAAATTAACTGCTTTTATAGCAGTTATTTTCATATGTTTTTGATCTATTCTTGTATAATGTGAGCAAACACCTTAACCGTTTAACATAAAGTATTTACAGAGTTATTTTTAAGTAAGAAAAATATGGACACAAGAATGTTGTCTTTTGATTAATTAAGAAGTTTATGTACTTTTAAGTTTAACCATTTGAGATAAAAATAAAATATTATAAATTTAAGATTTTTAATTTCTACTTTTACTGTATTTATAATTATAAGCCCATTTTATACATTGTCTAGGGGTACAGATATCTAAGTGCAAAAGTCACATTTAGGATGCAAATATTCATAATATGATAATATGAAAAATGAAATGTAATGTTACAAAATAATATATTTATTTTATCTTAAAATAAACAAGAAATCACTTCCATTATTATCGTACTTATATATTAAGTTTTTGTTACACATATATGCCAACCCATAACAACAGAAACAGAACACCAAAGCCGGAAAACAAAGACGCGACGAGTGACAGCAAAAGTTCCTTGAAGAGATCTCTGGTTGATTTCGTACTTGTTACTTCATATACGAAGAACCACGCCATGAAGAAAATGCCGATACCGAGCAGTAGTAAAGTGAGATGTGGAAACACGCCTGGGTTTATCGGCGACGTGTATCGAACCATTGATTCTATTTCCAACTAAAAAAAAAATACGTTTGAAACATTGTACATAATTGAAATGTAATTGACTCATATATTATAAAGGTTACTTACGCTCATTTTGAAGATTTCTATTGAGAATAATTGCAAAAACAAAACTTAGCACCACCGGCAAGAACGCTAAAGTCAACGTCAGAAAAAATTAGGATACGTCACACATTTGATAATTTTCTGACAACTATGTAGAGGAAATAACCGATAAATATATATTTTTTTAATGTACCCTTTTATAAAACATGGATTAAAAATCATCTAAATATTATGTGTTTATCAGATAATTTAAATAATATAAACAGGGGTATTTAAAACAATACATTTCTTTAAAGTTTTGAACTGAAAAACAACCTGATGACTGCCGATGACAGTGACATTTACTGTAAGAAGAAATGACATTTGTTCAATCAGTCAATTTCAATAATAAAATAAAAACAGAGATAAAGTGGTAATTTTTATGTGTTTATAACCTTTACTATGCGTAAATGTAGTAGCATTGTTGTTTAAGAAACAATGTTAATCATAAGTTGATTTTGCGATACAAGCAATGAATTCCAAATGTTTTATAATGAATATCAACAACATGAATGGACAGAGTAGTGGAGGTGACACAAAACCTCCCCTACCTAAAGAAAAAGTAATTTCTTATGAAGAGAAATCAGTAGGCTCGACGGTGTTCTTTAAGTGCGAAGCATGTCCTTACATGGCACTAGCCGAGGATGACATAAAATTTCACCTTTTTACTGTTCACCCAGACTTAGCTAAAACTAATGGCCTTGCCGACAATATTCAGATCTCTTGCCCCGGTTGCACGAGCGTTTTCGATGCGGAAGAAACTCTAAGAAATCACCTCCGTAACCATCATAAAATGGGCATAAAAGATGTCAGAAAGATGGTAAAAAGTCTAGTGCAAATAGCGCTTAAAAATGCGAAATTAAAAAAAGAAGATAAAAAGATTGAAGATCCACCTCCTCCGAATCAACAGGAATTAGCAGATATTAAAATTCCACAAATTATTGAAATAGTTACTGATTCAGTTAATCCAAATAATGAATCTCTACCAAAAGGTGTTGCTTATATATCTGTTGATGAATTAAATAACATGAGCACACCTAACTTTGAGAAAGTTGATCCGAAAGAAGTGATTCAAGGTGCCAGTATAAACATAGTTTACAGTAATGATGTATCAACTCAGTATGTAAATGTTTCGGAGGCAGGTGTATCAAACGGTACTTGTAATCTCATACAAGTATCAAGTGTTACTCCTGATCTCATATCATCAATACCTCGTATTGCCAATGTTCTAGACAACTCACCATCACCACAGACTAAAAAAGATAATGAATATAATAAATCTCAAATGCCAGCCAATGATTCTGGAACTGTTTTAAATTATTCTCATACTTATGACGGTAATACTAAGACAATTGATACAGATAAAAAATTAATAAAGCCATGTGGGATTGGAGGTTGTTATGTACGTTTAAAAGATGAAAATAATATGGCTTATCATAGGAAATGTCATCAGAATGGTAAACTACAGTGTCCGGAGTGTGCAAAAGTATGCCCCGCGGTAGATCCCCTTCATACACATTTGTGGAAAGTCCACGCTGTGGATATGGAATTACCTACGTGTGAAATATGCGGTTTTAAAACATTTAAAAAGTATAGACTTTATAATATACATATGAAATGTCATGGAAATGTTAAGGCATATACATGTAAGATAGTTTCTTTTATTTCTTTTGTGACATACCTATTTCAAAATATATAAATACATTGAAATATGTATAAAATAACTAAAGGAACACTTAATAACTAACAGCCAGGCTTTATGGTTTGGTTTGCTAGAATCAAAATATAATTTTAACCAGTATTATAACAAAAACTTTCTACTCTATTGTTGTAATTAGAAAAAAAAATCAACTATCCATAAATTCAAATATTTATGAATGTCAATTTCTGTTACGTAATTGTAAATTCCACAGGCACAATCTGCACTAAATCGTTTAAGAATTCCAATCAGTTTTCAAAGCACAACTTGATTCACAAGCGGGACTCGTCACCCGCACAGTGCCATATCTGTCAGAAGGAGTTCAGCAATGAGAGGAAGCTGAGAGCACATGTTAACACGGTACATGACAAGCTCAGGCCATTCAAGTGTTCACATTGTGACTACACGGCTGCTAGAAAAGGGGAACTTAAGCTGCATTTAAGGTCTCACACAGGTTAGTCATGTTTAAAAGTATTATATTGTAATAAATGGTGTTTTTACGTCTTGAAATTGAAGTATAAACTGTTGTATTAAGTATGAGATAATTAATTTTATAAAAAAACCATAATTCCTCTTAAAATAAGTACTAACATAAGTAAATCTTATATATATAAAACACAATTTTCGTTCCCATACTCCGAAACGGCTTGACCGGTTCACATGACATTTTGTGAGCATATTGAATAGGTCTGAGAATCGGCCAACATCTATTTTTAATCCCGCGCTGACGGAGTCGCGGGCGACAGCTAATATTTTATTATTATTATTGAGTACGACTCCGTTCAAGCCGAATTAAAAAAAAAACTTAATTAGTAGTCTTAATGTTCTTCCAGATCATGTTCTACATCTATGCCAAATTTCGCTTGACCTGTTGAACTTTTTTTGAGTTACCTTGTAACAAACATCCATACTTTTATATACCTATCTCAATATCAATGCCCACGATACAGGCATTGCCTAAGTGTGGGCATCACTAGATTATCCAAATTAACCATAAATGGTAACTTTAGTTTAATTTAATTTATTAGTTATGTGCAATTTTTATTATGTTAGTTATTGTTTCTTGGTTTAATCTTTGTTACCTATAAACTTTTATTTCTTTCTTTCTATACATCAATCAATATAATCACTCGCATTTATAATATTAGTAAGATTGGCTCAAAATATTATAGACCCAAATTCTATCCCCCCCATTATTTAAATTTATATTATATTATATTATGATACTATAATATTACAGGTGATAAACCATACTCATGCAATCAATGCAACTACCGGTCAGCAGATCACAACGCGATGCGTCGCCACAAGAGGATGCATTCCAAGGAAGGTGTTTACAAATGTAAATATTGTCCATACACTGCCATACAATCCACTATATTCACGTCTCATATGATATCCAAACATCCCAATGTCAATTCAAGCGATGTACACTGCTGCCCATATTGTCCATTCAAATCGGTCAGCAAGGAAAAATATGTAGTACATCTCACTACACATAGAGATAAAGAAGGTATACAACTTCTTGTTGATATGAAGTCAAGTAAAACAAACAAACCAAGTTGGACAATACCAAGTAATGAGGAAAAATCTAACACAACAAGTCATACCACAGATCCTAACAAAGATTCCAATACGAACACAGTAAATACTATACCAATAGAAGTTTACGACTGTGACAGTCTCTCTGAGAGCATGCCACAGGAATATCCAAAGAACTACTGCACAACTCCAACCAGTGACATACAAACACCTACATACAATAGCCATGTAATGGTCACAGATCTAAGAAAAGTCGAGAACAGTTCAGATTGTCTGATATCCGAAAGTTCCAATGACACCATGATGGATAGACACCAATATACCCCACAACGACAGATCCTTGAAATAACTTACGATGAAAATCAATCCAACTTACACGAGTTTCTAAACACGACTGTATCGATGGAACAAAAACTTTTACAAAATAACAGCGTTAATTCTTTAGCTTCAAATCATTCCCCGATGAGTAATAATATAATGGGTAACTTTCCAATCCGGTTACCACCAGTTCCATTGTCCCTTCGGAATAACATCATGTTGAAACCCGTCGATAAAATATCAATGCCAATGACAAAAGTCATTGGTCCTATTATTAAGCCGACTCAAATCTTGCCAGTTCCTTCATCTAGTCATTCCCCTATTAATATTAGTAGTGACCCAGAAGGAGCACCCAAAAAGAAAGCGAAGATCTCTGTTAAAAGTAATTTAATATTAAAAGGCCCAGATCAAGAAAATATGTTTCATTCGCAACAAAAGATGGCATTTAAAAGGTTAGAGGATAACGAAAGATTCGGTCTGGGTGGTCCGGTGACTTTTAATAATTTGATAACGACGCAGTTCATGCAACTGCAACCGGAGCCGGTGTTAAGCGAATCGCCCAACAACATAATGACATACCCTCAAGAGAATATGCTAGAAGATCCCGCAACTACACCGGTCGACAGTGAAATGAACGACAACCCGCAAATATTCACTTTTAATCAGCAAATGAACGTTAACACAATGACAATGTTGCCACCTCCACCGAAAATTCAAACAAATGACCCCAGTTACATAAAATTAGAGGCGACTATCAAACAAAATACACAGTCGCCATGCTTAGAAAGAATGTGCACAGGCCTTAATACGCAAATCATGAGTAGAGAGTACAAAGCATCACCACCTTTAGAGGAAATCCATAAAAATATTAAAAACGAAGTGAAATCCGATTCATTTTATAACATGGGTATGAATAACACGACAAATAATCCATCAATGATTGATAAATATTTAATGGATATGGGGGAACAATATTCTGGACATATGGATCTTTCGAATGTCATGTTACCAGAAATATCGGATCAACAGAATGACGTTATAGAAATAGATGACAATTCAGATGACACTAAAATGCTGCCTCGCTTCGATATGAACTTTCCATTAGAGTCTTTATACCTCATGCATAATGATTTCCACTTTTTAGAAAACGATATAACTTCTGACAGTATGCCTGAAGCATCGGTTAATGAAATTAACCGAATGGTTACGGAGGTCCCTATCGTAAATCAAAAGGAAGTTCTAGAGATAGTCCCAGATAATAACGAATATCAGAATTTTCAAGGCAATAAAGATCCTATGATGAATACATCGGTTAGACCGATGACTAAAATCAATGTAAAAAATATAGAATTAATGAAAAATTAATCTGAATAAGTTATTAGATCTGTTAATATTATTTTAAAGCTAACTTTGTAAATATTTAAGTGTATCAAATACAACAAATTTAAGGTGGCATTTAAAATTTAGATAACATCCTGTATAAGGATCACTTTTGTAAAGAATAAAATTTTATAATCGTTAAATATTATAAGACATTAAAAAGACTGTTATAGATAGTTTAATAAAATCGTTTCAATCAAACTTTTAAAAAAATACATTAATGTTTGGTCCTGTATGAAACAGGGATGGACTTGGGTCACATACATCAATACAAAATGAAACTAAAATATTATTAAAAACCATTCGTATAATTACTTTCGTTCTTTTTCAATCTTTTATAAAAAGCGATGTAATCTTTACTATTCCTAACTTCCTGTGATTTATATAATATCCATTCTTCTCCCAGATCGTCAAATGGCGATGGATCTGTATGTACTCCTTTACCATAACCTGGACCAATAATCACTAGCAGATGTCCTGAGTAATGCTTCAAATATTCATCGAATGCTATACGACTATTAAAATAACAGAATAGCAAAGCACTAGTTTTCGCATTTTGCAATAAAGATGATGTTGAGTTATCTATTGTTGGAGATGTTAAAATTAATGGAATAAATGTTGGTGGTGCATATTTGCATTGCCACCAAGCACTGTCAACTTCAATCCCTGTTACAGGTAAACCTGAAAACGATATTATCTTAAGATATTTCATGTCGGCTTTTGTATTAAAATGTTAAAAACTTTCGTAACAAACTACTAAATTAATAGTCACCTACCAGTTGCTTCAATAATCATCCATTCTAAAAGTCCACTACCACATCCAACACTTATAATACTATCGCATCCATTATCAATAACACCATCTCGTAAAAAGTCAAAATTCTTCTCGTCAGGAAAGACCCATAATAATTTACTTCTGTCTGGATGATCATGATATTCTGACACTATAGATCTCCAATTTCTTTCCTTATATAAAATTAATATTGAATTTACTAAATTGTTTTCCATTTTATAATATAAAATATACCAAACTTTGTTTTCAATCAAATTTCCCTCCAAGTATTACGTCTCTCGAATGGCAACTAAATACGGATGTATGGGATGTATGAATATAGATTTGACAATGACCGCGCGCAGAAACGCCGCCAGATTCTACGTCACGAAGCTCAATAGTGAAATAGTGATGGATTTGTGAACAGGGTCGTATTTAAATAATCAATTTTAGAAATTAAGTATCAGGGCACACTTTAAAAACATTTCGAACTAGACTTCAATACTTTGTATAATGAATTATATAGTATATGTGACAAATTACTATAATTGGTTGGTATGATTGTTAAACTGGCTAAAACAACTTTTATTCTGCAATAATTTAGTATAGCAAAATTATTTCTACCGACATTTTGTGACGGTCAGAAATTAATTTAAAAAATATAAATTACCGGAGAGTCCATCCCTGTACTGGTTTACCTTTAATGTTGAAACAATATCTGGCTTATGTCCAAACGACATTTTAATGGTTTGAAAATGAAACATATTAGCGAACTTCAAATGAGTTTAATTTTACCTAAGTGTTGCGTATAGTAAAATTATAATAAACTAGCTGTCTCCGTCCGCGTGAAATTAAAAAAAAATAGTTCACGACAATTATCGAATTTTTCTCGCCGTAAAAACCATCTTTGAACTCCAATGAACATTTCAAAAAAAGAATTGGCCAAATTGGTATAGACGTTGTTGAGTTATGCGCTTACCAACATTTTGGCGATTCATTTTTATATTATAAATAAGTAATCGAATCGAATTATCTCCCTCTTTAAAGCGGTTCAATCCTTATACTTTTTAGATTCATAAACCCAAAATAACACGCACGAAAGACATTACACTTTTGTGTTAAATAAACATCAAGTTACCTCTTATTTAGTGACGATGTGATTAAAATGTCAGTGATTTTTTTAAAAAAAATTAAAAGAATAATATCGTTGATTTAATGCATTTATTTAAATGAAAAACACGTATACAAAACTTTCTGAAGTCACCAAGTCAAGCTGCAATAGTCGTTGAATATTCAAACATTCGATTAATTCAATTTTGAACGTTACAAAAATCTTTATCCGATAATATAGATGTTGCGTTACCTTAAATTATAAACTTGAGATCAACATATGAAAGAGATCACAAACATCAGTCGTAATTATAAATCTATAACTTTTCACAAACGCGAAATTGTTTACAATTTTTTTTTATCACATACATTTTTTTTTGGCAGACGAAGCTTTACGCAAAATCCCAAAAATTTCATTGAAAATATAAAACCTAGAGTGAAAAAAAATTTCTACTCTGGCAATGTTTTTTTTTTCAAATACAGTCTTCTGATTATTGCCATTACTACATGGTAACATTGTGTTGAATTAAGTATTTATTTGAATAAAGGGCATTTTTGTGATGTTCTAAAAAATATCCTATAAAAAAATAGAAAAATAAGTAACACAAATTATTATGTTCAAATACAAAACTAAAACTTGTCCTTTATAATACAGAATGCCCGTAACCTTTTTAAGGAACAAATATATTTAAATGCAATCAACTGACGAATAGATTCAGAAACATTATTATTCTACGGACGACTTACCGTTTTAATTAATTAATAATAAATTTCGAATAAAAAAGAAAAAATTCCAAATTCAAATGAGATCAAATACCAATTTAAAAATTTTGGTCCTTCCAGCCAGATAAACTTTAAAATAACAACGTTTCTAAATCTCACTGGACACTTATGTATATAAAAATAATAAAGTTCACAGCTATATATACCTTAAAACTACATACGTCTTGGACGTTCTTAAAAGCAACAATGTTAGTAATATTTATGACTGATTTTAGGATCCTTATATTATGTAATGTAGATAATAAACATTTGACATTTCATAACTAAACATTGCATTTATAAGCCCAATAAGACACATCATTATGATTTATTTTATCTGTATCCTGATTATATCCCATACAAATTCATACAACAATCATAATACGAACTTTACCACAAATGCCTAACCGTGTGTTTCCGACTCTAAAATCTCTGTTTAAAACATATTGTCATCTCTGTTTTGTCAAACATAATGATAGGGATGACGATATGTTTTATACAGATATTTTGGTCTCAGAAACCAGCGGTAAGACGAGTTTATATGTTGGAAAATTCATATATACATCAAACATATATAAAAGTATTCAATATAGTAAAAATAAAAAAACACTTACATGTGTAATCCATTTTGAGTTAACTAAAGATTTAAAATTATATATGTTTGCAGTATTTTATTATACCATTTCATTGATATTTTGTGTTTTTAGATAAACGATTTAATTGATTTTACATAGCAGTAATTCCTGTATCCGTCTCATGCATAAAATCACCACATTCAGCCTTTAGTTCCAAACATTTCTGTAAAGAAAAAACATAAATGTCTATTAACTTACAAAATGCCATTTTGAAGCGAGCACAGAGTAAACTTTGCAAACTAATAAACTGTTATCTTTCCCGCCAAACAACTGTCATGTGTCAATTTGGACATATCCGTTTGCCTTTTTTTTTCTCTCTCAATTATTTAAATAATTAGAGGTCGCCGTGACTCTGTCCGCGCGGAATTAAAAAAAACATAATTAAGTAGCCTATATTTCTCTTCCAGACTGTTCTATATATATGCCAAATTTCATGATCTGTTCAGCTTTTCTGGAGATACCTTCTAATAAACATCCATCCATACATTCATCTAAACATTGGCACTTATAATATTAGTAAGTTGTATATTAAAAAGATATCTTACCCATTATATTTCACGCCTCCGTATCCGCGCCCGGCGACACTTGACTCAACACTTGTTTATCGTTGGTCAGTATCATTTTGTAGAGCTCCACATTCTTTATGGGCGGCCTCGAATGGAACTCATTCAAGTCACTATTCTCTTTTAATTTCATCATCTTCTGCTCATCTATCGGCGGGAGTGGGATCTCTTTGGATGTCCTCATCAAGTTAGCCCGTCTTATTTTATGCACATAGCCATACTCCGGGGCGGGACTGGCCGGTTTCTTCTCACTATCAGCATTCCTCTTCTCGACTATAACACTTTCTCTTGCATTATTAGCTTCTAGAATATACGATTTGTCTATGAAATCTTTATTGTTTTGTTTCTCATCTTTACAATCTTTTGTATCAATATCCACTTCAATATACATATGTTTTTCTATGACTTCTTGCGTTAAAAGTGGTAGTTGTTCGAGTATTTCTAGTTTATTTATTTCGGTCGCTCCATTTGTTTCTATATGTTGTTCAGTTTGTCCGTTCGTGTTTGCGACTTGTTTGAGAACGCCCTCGTCGCATTCAACAGCGGTGGCGGGCACGTACTCTGGGTGGGTGTTTCTAATGTGACGCTCCAAGTTATCCTTCCTTCTGAAACGTCTATTGCACACTTTGCAACGAAATGGCTTCGAATCTAAATAAAAAAATTAGGTTACATTTTTCTTTTTTTGTCATACTCCAAAAGATTGAAAATAAATGCCTTTTATTCACTATCAATGTCAAATAGATCAATAATGTCAGTAGCACAAAGTACTCCGACGGTGGTAGTCTAGAAATTCAAAAATAACTAACTTTTACAAGTTTATAAAATGTTTAAAACAAAAAACGAAATAAGGAATGCATACATCTGCAAATACAATTTTTAATATCTAAAATTATAATATTTGACATAACAGCCCACTCTTGGAGCTAGTGCCACCTATTGGAAGCGTTCAGTTTACCCCGTTAAACACTTTAAAAGATATTATTATATTTTATGCTACAGATAGTTTAAAATAAGCAGTATGGCAGAGCACATACTAACCGGAGTGCACGGCAGCGTGTCTTCTCATGTCTTTACCGGAGTGGAAGGCCTGCGGGCAGCGCGGACACTGGTGCGAGCGCAGCGCCCGCGTCGCTGCCGGCTGCACGCAGCACGCGCCCGACCTACCACATCCCTCACAACCGCACTTCTTCACTGTAGGGATAATATATGATACATTGCTGTGAATGCCTAGTTATTGATAATTTTGGATAAACGTTTAATAACTGCAGTAATTTATTACCTCAATCTTGATATGAAAAGGGTAAAAACAAACAATGGCTCCTTGGTAATAACTACACTAACTCCCACACTTTTAATCAATAGAAGAACTATTAAATATCTCAGACAACCATACTCAAGAGTTTGTTACCAGATTGTCTCGTATTTCATGATGCTGCAGGAAACTTTGTCGCACATTTACTAAAATAATTTAAAGTCATACATACTCTCATGTTTGGCAACATGTTTCCTATAATTGGAGCCGTCTCTGAAGCGACGTCCGCACGCGCTGCATTGGTACGGCCGTTCCTCCGTGTGTGTCAAACTGTGCTTACGCAGTGAGGTCAAGTTGTTGAAACCTTTGGTACAAACTGTACAGGCATATTTTTTCTCTTCTAAAACATAATATAACCTGATTTAGCAATAATATTAAAATAAGTGTATTTAAAAGTAATTTCTATAAGAAAAAACGCTTTTAATCCTTTTTTGAAATAAAAAAAATCTCTATAGTCAGATATCATATCATGCCTTTGAATATTGTGTGTATAAAGTAAACAGAAGCATAGCTTACTTGTGTGCTTCAGTTTGTGACGTTGCAGCTTTGACATCTGGAAGAAACTGTCACCGCACACATCGCAGGCATATGTCCGTTCATTGCGGTGCACACGCATGTGGTACTTGAAGTGGGAATGGGTTGCAAAGCTCTGAAATATTGTTACATTTTAATTAGTTTTAGTGAATTCTAATCTGTTATAATTATTTGATGCATATCATTGACTTTTTAGTCCCCTTTCCTTATAAGAAAAGGGTGGGAAGGTATACTCAATGACAACTTAAATTTTGTCCATAAGTGGTGAACATGATCAAACTTATTGGACAAATAATTTACTCTGGAGTTTATTTAAGTGCCACAAAGTTTAGCCAAAAATTTACAAATTTCTTAACATAGAAATTATAATGAATATTTTCATACCAGTATAATTATATCTTACAGTTAACTTGCCAGTTGGTGGCTCTGGATGTGTTAATATGTGATACAATGTTAACTTTAAATTCAAACCTTGTTACATTCGGGACATTGGTAGGGCTTTCTCTGTCCATTACAGTATGCATGATAGGCAACTTGGCTGCGGGCATGAAATCTCTTCTCACATACTGTGCATTCATAGAATTTCTCATTTTCAACTGAAAAAAATGAGTAAATTGTTACATATTTTAATATGCAAGAATTAATTATTATATCTATTTAAATTGTATATTTAAATGTGGAAGTGAATTTTATACTATTTATGACTGATTACATTTTAAATATTCAATAAGCTTTTCTCTTAACTCTGTAGTAATTGGTTCATATTGAAGGGTGATAAAAGATTTGTTGTGACTGAGTTTGGTCAAAGACATTATTTCCGATACAAATTTTGGTTGATTCAGTACCTGTAACAATTCTTACATGTGATGTCTCCGGTTTTTTCTTTTTAACCAATTCTTTGGAGTCTGTCGGTGCTTCTCCTGACTCCTGATCACTTCCCTCTCTCAAGCAAGCTACGCAACCAGATTTTTCAAGCAGAAGACAATTCATACATTTTACGTGGCCACAATTTTCAGTTACTAAACGATTGTCCGTCTGGTTAACAGGTTTTGAATTACGACAAATAACACAAATTTTAGGATTCATATCGGAATACATGTAATGACTTAGAGGTTACTATTGATGTTAAATTGTGTTTACTTGTTTTTACATTTTATAGAAAATCTCGTACGAATGTAAATTACTAAGGCATAATTTACGAACATTTGGTAGGCTAAGCATAACAAATACAAATTTTATACAATTTATCTTCAAAATGAAAACTTCGTTCGGGATTCATGCTGTATTGACACTTCCCTTGTTATAGATTAAAACGGAAAGATTTTTAATTAACATTCTAGGAAAAAATCATTTAATGTATTGAAAATAACTTAGAATATCGAAATTAAGTTTTTTAGTCATATAATCAACTAGATAATATGTTTTATTGTTTTTACTAACAACATAAAAAATTATGAACAAAAAATGTATATAGTTTTCGAACGCACCAACGACGCCAAACGCCGACCTGACTGACATTCTGAAAATACTACGTTCAAATTAATTAAAGGAAGAAACTAACAGATATTTATTCCCCTAGCATTGTTTTATGTAGTTTAGCGTTTTTTTTTCGATTTTAGTAAAAAAAATATTGGGTTCTTCAAAATTTACAGTATTTGATAAGAAACTTGTACTCACGACCAAAATTAGAAATGATGGTGTGTCTATTTTCATATTTTGTATCTATAATCTACATCCGTTAGTTGTCATTTAATATTTAATTCCATTTCGTACGCCTTGAAGCTTTTTTATATTTAAAATAATAAGTAGGCTATAATTTAGTATAATTTCAATATGGTATGTTGTTTTTATTGTGGATATACGTTTAACAAGTGAAATTTGGTTTTATTACGTGTAAAGTTAAAATAAATCAGACATGTAACCTCAAATGTGCAATTTGTTTTCAGGATGTCTTTTTAATGATTCGGCGAAAAAAGTTAACCATCTTTACAGACGCCAAAGACACTACGACTGTTCTAGAGTTGAAGAAAATGATAGAAGGTGAGTGAGAAATGTATGATATCAGATTATGCTATTTTTAGTTTTTAGACAATGTCGGACATATAAAATAAGCGACTTTGTTGCATACATTTGTTGTAAACATCTCAAATAATATTACCACGCGACCATATATAATGATTACTATGTTTTAATCATTGTTCATCTGAAAACAATCTATTTTACACAATTATAAGAATTCCATTTTTACCTTGAATTTATTAGTATTTACAGTACATAATTTTTTTACAACTTATCTCAATGTTTATAATTAAACAAAAAGAAAGCTTAAGTTACCACTTAAAGCAATGATATAAGCCTATGGGAAAGGATTTTAAAACTTGTAACATATGTATTCTGGCAACTGTTGCTTCTGTTAAAGAAGTATATAATTAGTTATATTCAATAAAAGCAAACTGCACTAAGCTTTATTTAATATTCCAGGCATACTAAAGGTGCCCCCACCAAGTCAGATGTTATTCAACAAGGATAGTCAACTTATGGAGGATGAGAAGACTCTTGCGGAATATGGACTTACATCGGCCACAGCTAAAGCTCAATCACCTGCACCTATCGGACTGGCACTAAGGTTAGAACAAGACTATGTTTTATTACATCTCTAATAACTATGGACAGTGGTCAGTTTAATTTTTGTTAAATCTTCGCCAACTTGCTTTTTAAAAAAATGATTCTTTATTATTTCCTTAGTAAGTTATTAATTTAGTATATATCAATAGTATATATCAATATCCTCAATAAGACTAATATATTGTGTCCTATTCATAGCTCCTATATTGAATAATTAAATAGTATAGCCTAGTAGTATTAGCCTATGTGTTTTTTAGACTATATTCAATGCCCAATTTCAGAGAGAATAGAATAGATAATAGTAGTAAGATAAACTCTAATCTTTATGGATTTAGAAGTCAATGTAGTGTTAAATAATTAATTTTATCATTAAAAAATCATGATTATTGCTAAATGGACATTGTATGTAAGATAACATGGCATATTTATTTTGTTTTTTTTAGACAATTTAAGTATGTGAACAAATAGTAAAGATTTATTTTATAAAACAAAGATATATGAGTAGTTCATTCTTGATGTTACAGGAAAGAAAACGGAGAATTTGAAGCCCTGGATCTGACCCCGTACTCAGCACCACCTGATCTACCTGATGTTATGAAGTCACAGGAAACTAATGGTCAAGAACAGGTAAAAATTATTGAATAGACAAAAGAAGTTATTAAAAATATACTTCTGTGATCAGACCCAACTAATTCTAATAAGGAGATATTATAAATATGGTACATTAAAAAAATAATTTAAAAAAAACGATAAATAGGGCCAAAAAAATTTAAAAATATTCTACAAAAATAAATGGTTACTAATGTACGCTTGTAAATAATTGGCTTAAACTAACACAATAACAACTCAACATTTTCTAATCTTAAATTAACACATTTTTTCTTACTAAAACATAACAAAATTTTTCACCGTGGCATGCAAAAATATAACAAAAAAATGACATATGTAAATTAATTCAATTCCAGATGTGGCCTAAATCTGCGACCTTGTGCAGTGGATGTGTTTTGATTATAGTTTTAATTTTGTCTATGGTATGGACAAGTTGCAGCGACAATGACCAGTCATGACATGTCATTGTAAGGCAGAGTTATTTCATCTGTACATAAAATTATATAATACTTTTTGTTCATCAACTTTGTCCAGCGGTTTCTCATGCTGTGCTGCTCAATTAGACTAATTAAGGAAAAACTAATATTTTTACTTAATGTTTATGATAAATATGTTAATACCACGTCGCGTTTCTCGTTGGAACGTTATAAAAAAAAACACTATAAAAAATTAAACATAAACTTTCTCAATAATTGTACTGTTTAATACAAAAATATTCCGCGGATATTTTCACTCACACAAACTAATTTCTTTGTTTCTTACCGTGGGTTTTCGACACCAATGTCTCTGGATAAAATATACCGTCATGGTCATTTTTTAACCGGGGATTTTGATCTCAGAAACCCAACATTATTCCACTATAGAATGCTTATAAAGAAAATAATTTTTCATGCTGTATAAACTCAAAAACTAAAATTGAATCTCTTAAATCATCAATAAATACTCTTACTAACCACTCTTGATTTCATTTTATTTTTCTTTTATCTATATATAAACAAAATGGGTATTTTTAGATTATGATTCTTAGATTATAAGTAGATACTAAGTAATATATTGCTTTGTTATAGATGGATCAACACTAAACAGCTCGGCAACGTCTCGGACTCCAACACTAACAACGTATCGACTGTACTAAAGTAATATTCAAAGTTCCGGCGCAGACATCGTCGCCACATCGTGACTCACTCGATACAATTTGCATCAACATATTTTGTTAATGTTTTATCAATTAATTTGTGTTCGATTTTAACACGATTCTACACAGTTTTTAGTATTTTTGTGAAGCTTGGACGATTGTTGTGCTTTTTTTTAGTGTATTGTCAGAATTTTTAACGAGACAGGAAACATTATCGCGGTCAAATGTGATAAATTTATTTAACGAATTGCGATTACATGTTCGAAATGTATTTAGCAATACGAATAATATAGTTTTTGTTCACATAGTAGCGAAATTACAAATAGAAGTGCACGGTTGAAACCAATGATGGATTTCAAACCATGTTTTTTCGATTTATCAATAGTAATCTAAAAACCTAATCCATCGCCTATTCAAAATGGTTAAAACATGCGCTTTGAAATCTATCTGTGATCATCGATCGATTTTTTGGTTTGACCGTTTATTTACTGAAGGTCATCTCGTTAACCTATTAAGGAACTTCCTTACAGAGCGTCTAAAGAAAAACCTATGTAATATGTCGATCTGATGTCCCAAGGAGACATATTAAAATAATCATATTTTATACTTTAAATATTTAAAAGCACACAATTAATAATTCCGATATTGGTTTATTGTCAATAAATGTCAGATTCATAAAACGAACTGTCATTGACGTCCGCCATTTTGAAACCATTTTGATATTACACATTTCACAAAGTTGCCACATTCTTTTTTATCCTTGAAAACGAACAAGACATCACATTTATCCTGTCTGTATAAAGGGTATTGTACTTTTGAACTATAAAAATAAGAAAATCTCTTATGTTTTGTATTTGCACTGAAAACTGACGCTAACGTCCCTACTAATAATTGTAATTTGTATCATAGCTTCACGCTTTTATTTTTATTTTTTATAATTATTGCAAATTAAATAATATCTTGCTTTTTTGTATAATCAGTAAATATTATTTGAACTTTAATATTAAATATTATCATTAATTAAATCGCTAGGGCATTTGTTTTGTAAGTGTAAGTCTCTTATGTAAACTATGGTAACACTAAAAAATTAAATAATACGGTCCGGTCTCTCTCTGATGTGTCTTGCAGAAACAGATCGTATGCCTAATATTACAATAGTTAATAATTTTACTGATTATACAAAATTTTTGTATTCCAATCATAAAAAAAAAATAGAAAATAACCAATGTTTTATGATCTTTATCGATAATGCCGACATTTTCCTGTGCAACTTTCGTTATTACTTTAATGTGCTAATCACTTTAGCACAAGGCTGATTAACTTTTTCTCATTTTCTTTATCAACGAAAAGATATCTCTGGGAGGTATTGACATTGCGAGATATCTAGCACTGTCACTTTATAAGTACTGTTAATTTTAAAATTGATGTGGTTTTTAACCACTGGTCTCTATAGAAATGGACAGGTCACTACTTGTAAATGTCTGCTTTTGCTTGGTTGTTCATGCGCCTATAAGAATCTGTCTCTGTTATTAGTTCGAATCCTCACCACCACTACCAACCGTTACCGTCAGCGCCAAAATGGTATAAATCAAATAGGCACAAAATACCACGGCTTATAGCCTGTCCATATATAGAGGTCAGTGTATTTAACTGATTATAGTATAGAATGAACTATAGTTTATAGCTAATTTAATAGGGTAATATTTAGGGGCTTTTTATATCTTACAATAATCGAAGATACCCCCCAAAGTCTGTAAACTTTTTTTTTATGTCAAGGTAACTGCATTTTCATTTATATATTTTTTTTCAATAGTACATTTTGTAAATTATCTACTAATTTTAATTCGTTTTTGGGTTTTGCATTGATAGTCTAACTAACGTGTGTCAAACTATTACGATGGGTTTTCACTGCTGAAACATATGAGTAAAAACATATCTTTTTTAATGAAAGATGTGTTTATAGTGTTGGGCAGTGGAAATCCATGGCAAGATAGTATTGATGTTGTGTATCGTAAATGTGTCGTGGCGTAACTAAAACGGTGCTAGTCCTGTTAATACTATGAAGAATGAATAGTTTTGTGTGAAAGGTAATATTTAAATTTCTCGCATGTAGTAATTGTTATCTGTATACATAGATCCAATTCATTGGCTTTCTATGAATTTAAAAATATTTTCATCTCTAATACTGCTAACAATAAATTACATATTAACAATAAAATGATTAATGTAAATAATAAACGAAACAATTAAATGCAACACTAAAAATACAATATCAGCTGTAAGACTTTAACATAATATTTTATGTACAAAAAAACTAATGAAAACTACTTTTGTGGTCTAAAATATGACGTCAATGCAAACCCAATACATTAAATATTATATAACGTCGGTTCTATTAAATAGCTAGTAAATTTTAATAAGCTCTTAAAATCCACAATTCAAAATTTAACCCATAAATAGTATGAAAAATGTTGCACTCTAAGATAGGAAAATTATTTAAACTTTCGCGCGTTACCACTCTCACTGACATTTGTTTTTTTTAAGTAGCTTTTCTCGTAGATAATTTTCTTTCTGCCAAAGTACATGATCGAGAAGCCCAATATTAGTATCTATCAAACTAAATATTGGGCACTTTTATATCGTATATTTGTTCAAACTTTCTCTTAAACTCTTCATAAAGCTATAACGTCCATGGACTGGTGTAGCAATAGCAGTTGGTCGGTGTTGGTTTTTTGTAAGCGGTTCATTCAATGTACTCATCTGAAAAATTTATATGGCAATTGTTTTTTTTTAATAAATAATATGAACAAAACCATCGTCGGCATTTTGACAGTTGAAAGATATGTAATGTAGTATTTATGAGCAAGTATGGGAAATTTTAAGAGAACCAGCAGGAAATAAAGCTGTTTTGATTTGTTTTGCCGTGTTATTATTTCTCCTTTTCAATGTTGATAAAATTTTCGAACCAACATCAGTTTTAATTAGTGATACTAATATGTAATATAGTTAGTGGTTTAACGCATATTCTAAGTTGATCGTATAGGATTTTAGGTCCGGTCAAGCGCTTAACACCTGCGCCATGGATGGTTAATAATATTACCTAGGTTAAAAAGACTGCCACACAAACCAAACAACAAGACAGTTTTTGTAATGTTACTAAGTTTTTTTAGTACTGGCTTCAATTTTCTACTTTAATAGGAACGTTACTGTCAGTGTCAGCCACTCCTGTCACTGTCATTTTTTACAATTGTCAAAAGGAGGCGTGCTGTTTGGCATGTTATATCTAACCTTAAAATAATTTTTGTTTACCTTTGAATATACATGAAATTGTATTTTGGTTGCGGTTAGATCATTTTATTTAAATTAACAATGGGAAAACGTAAGGGTAAATGTGTGAAAAGAAACACTGCAACTAAAGAGGCTCTAGAACCTGACCATTTAGTGAAGGCGCCGCACTCATTCGTTATTCACAGAGGAAAATGTTCAAAACATCTGATGGAATTAACTAAGGATTTTAGAAAAATAATGGAGCCGTTTACCGCATCACAGCTAAAGGTTTGTACTATTTCTTTTCTTTATATTATCAAATTTACATCAAAATATATGTCAATTTAAACTTGAAAATATCATATTGTGTTACTATAATTTATATTTCTACAATAACATATTTAAATATCAGACACAAATGCAGTATATTTTAAGTAAATTGGCCAATTTTTTTTAGGAAAGAAAGAAGAATACAATCAAAGACTTCCTGTCGGTGTCTGGTTATCTACATGTGTCCCACATGATGATGTTCACAGAGACGGAGCTGGGTTCATACATGCGCCTCGCTCGGCTGCCTCGAGGACCTACACTCACATTTAGATTACATAATGTAAGTATATTTATTCAATACAGTACATTTTGAAAGCAATTAATTTCATGAATCTCTTAATTTTTTTTAAAAGTACTGAACTAAAATTTTTTAGCCATTTTGACACAAAATTCTTACACATACAAATATTACATTGCAATTTATGTCATATTCGTAACTCATAAAATACTTTTTCCTCCAGTACAGTTTGGCCAGAGATGTTGTCTCATCTCTGCGGAAGCAGTATGTGATGTCACGAGCATTCAAGAGTGCACCTCTCATTGTCCTCAACAGTTTCTCCGGAGAGGGCAACCATATGAAACTCATGGCTACAATGTTTCAGAACATGTTCCCTACTATTAATATAACTACAGTAAGTTACAGTAGACTTGCATTGGCTAAATACAACAACATAACTCACATCTCTAACCCAGAGGGGTAGGCAGAGGCTATATACTTACATTTGGCACGGTCCTGACACATCTTGCTTCTTCTGCATTCATATATCTACAGAAAAATTATATTGGGTATGGGTGCTTCTTACAGCTCAAAATGCCTGCATAAATATAAATTGTCATCAAAAACTTAATAATATTGTTTTAGTACAAGTGTTACAATAGTTGTATTAACCAAATATACTTAAAAATAATTTCTATCTTACTTCTGATGCCATTTTTTCACTATTTTCATATGTTAATTGACTAATTATGATGGGCAAAAGACGCGCTGGAGGAAGAAAGAAATCGTGGTTGCGAAATATCAAGGAATGGACGAATGTCACCAGCGTGGAACATTTATTTTGCTTGGCACAAGATCGGCGAAAGTTCACTGAGCTGACGGCCAACCTCCATTAAATGGAGAGGCACCTTGAGAGAGAGAGAGAATTAATTATTTGTACGACTTTTCAGGTGAAACTTAAAAATATTAGACGCTGTGTTCTCATGAATTACAATCCAACTACGAAACTAATAGATATGCGACATTACGTCATACGTGCGATACCTGTAGGACTGAATAAAGGCACTAAAAAGGTAAAGTTAATCGAGGTATATTCAAAATTTTAAACTAAAGTCATACTTGGATAAGTGTGTACCACATAACTGGAAAACCTTTAAAAGAAACAGTCATTGTCCGGTTCCATTAAACATGTTTAAAAATAAAAGAGATATGTTTTATATAGATTTATGTCAGTGGAAACCCATATTTATGTACTACAACTTTAACAATTTATATTTTAGATGGTGCAAGGAAAAATACCCAATTTAAACAGATGTAAGGATATGTCGGAATTCTTTGACAAGTAAGTTTTATAAATGTAAAGACATAGAATTGTTCTATATTTCTTACCACTGTATACTATTAGGAAGAAAATGATACACTGTGTCGGTGTACTGGCGCAACACTAGCCTTATTAAAATGTCGACGTTTATGTCCCCTCACTAATCATTCTGACACATGACTTGATTCTAACTAATAATGTGTAAAAATACTTACTAATCAAAATGAAATAGGTTTTTCCATTTTATACAATTTAAAAATGTATATTTCAAACAAAGCTTGGAAATTTTTGTCTTGAATCAGCTTTAAATTGGACTGAAGTGTAATTTATTTTTAATTTCAGAGCGGCATTGATGTCAGAGAGTGAGTTCGAAGATGATGCGAACGCTCAAGTGACGTTGCCGCAAAGCCTCGCCTCGCGCGGTGCTGCAGCAGACTCCAAGTCCGCCATACGACTGGTAGAACTAGGCCCCAGGATAACCATGCAGCTAATAAAGGTATAGTCAAGAACGTTTATTGTGAAAACGGTGTACTTGTCTTATGGTGACAGTTTGCAGATCGTAAATTAATTTCTTTGACTATGCAGTTGCTGTTTTATTAGATTTTTTTATATGTTTAATTGATAAATCTCCATATTTCAGGTGGAAGATGGTCTAATGGACGGAGAAGTTCTTTACCACGAGCTTATAGAGAAGACGGAAGAGGAGAAAGCTCTAATAAAGAAAAAGAGAGAAGAAAAGAGGTTATAAAAAATCTAGAATCTTCAACCCAATAGATCTAATTTAGAGATTAATAGATAATTGCTTAATATATAGTTTTTTATGTTATTGATTTTTGCAGACGTCTTAAAGAGAAACGTAAAGCGCAGCAAGATGAGAACGTGAAACGTAAACAGCACGAGAAAGAAGAACTAAAGCAGAAGGCGCTAGAAGGTATCAAGAAGAAGAAAGAACTTACTGAGAACCAGAGGTATGAATTTATTATTAAAAATAATTTTTTATGATGTCCAGGTTCACGCAAAAATAATCTTCACATCCAGTAAATTAATAGATGCGTAATTCAATGTGCATTTAATAGTTTAAGGGTTAAAATTATTTAATCTGTGTGTCAGATTAATGGAGCTGGCTGCTGCGGAAACGGCGACAGGTGGAGAAGCGGAGGAGGACGACGCTGATTACTACAGGCAGGAGGTCGGCGCTGAGCCCGAACAAGGTACATCTCACTTACATACGTATAGCGCCATCTATCTTACAAAGTTGACTTTGATCGTAAAACTGACAAACTAGAGTTAATATTTTTATAAAACTGCTTTTCCACTATAGCGAGTAAATTTAGGCGTCGTTTGCACTTTGACGTTTGTAACATCAATAACAGTCGCGCGACTTGCCCCCATCTGTTTTGTCAGATAATCTTTGGTCAATTTTAAGTTTGTACATTTTTTACATTATTATTTTTAGATCTCTTCAGTCAAAATCTATCAAGGAAGCGAAAGACAGATGAACCAGCAAGAGGTTTTAAAAAAATGAGGTTAGATAAGAAATTAAAGAAGAAATACCAAAAGAACGATGACAGCGGCCAGAAATCACAAAATTATGGTAAGAGAAGATTCGAGAATAACGAAGAAGGTAAAGGAAATTTCAAGAGAAATAGAGATGGGAAAAGATTCAACAAAAACGAAGATTCAAGTAGACAAAGACAGGGCAAACAAAAAGTATTTGGTGGAAAAATTAATAAATTCAGTAAAGGGAAAGGACGGGAAAAGAAAATGTCAAAAGGCAAAGGAAAGGCTAGGAAATAATTTGTAAGTAATGTGAATAAAAACGTATAATTAATTTTGTCATTTTATTACTCTGTAAATCCTTATTAAGTTAGAGTGACGAAATATAAGAAAAACTAGTTTTCTTATGGGTACTTATTTTTAGGGTTCCGTACATGAAAAGGAAAAAACGGAACCCTTATAAGATCACTTTTCTGTCTGAAAACACATTTTTCATGAACGCGTGGAGCTATCAAACTGGAATTTATTGAGGAATACACGAGATGACGACCTTTAAGCCATTATACCATTAAAAAAATACATACGAATTGAAAACCTTCATTTTGTTGTCGAATAAAAATCAAACAATTAATTTTATACAAATCATTTAATTTGAACCATTAAATTGAAATACAAAATTATTGTTCACAGTGGGTTTCCACTGCTTAAAACACACAAGTTTATATATTTTTCAGCAGTGTAAATCCTCTGTTAAAATTAGAAAACACTATTATAGTTGACTTGTGTTTGGCTGATTCTGTAATGAAAATTATTATTCATCAAAACATCTGATTTATTACAAAATTATTTAAATCAATCATTAATTAAATATAATTCAATAATAATTATTCAAAAGTTGAAAATTGAAATGATTTTTTTTTATTCAAAGATTTGAAATTATTTTACTAAAATAAAACATATTTAAATTATTATGATTAAAAATGAAATAAAAATGCTGCATTTTTTAATGAAATAGAAACAGTAAATTAACTTAAAGTACATTAAAAACAAAATATTATAAAAATAAAGTGATCACTGAATATTTAATAATAATAATAATAAAACTATTGCTTCACCTTTCAGTTCAATAATTTACATTTCACCTGATGAGTGGTAAAATATAGAGAAGACAATTCACTGGTTAGATTTTCTTAAACATTAGAATCACATAAGATCTAGATTTTTAGATAAACAATTTAATAGTATTTACCGGATTTTTGATATTTAATTGCTGATCACAAAAAACACATAAAATAATACTTAAGTCTATGTATGTATAGGTCTTACCTAGGTCCGCTAAGGTACCTAAATCTGGGCCTCGCTTACATTACTAGGTTTTCTTTCTAGGACTGTTTGTACTTACATCTAATTCCCTAAGTGGAAAGTCTAGACCACTCTTACCTATCAATGTAGAATAAAGGTCTAGGACATAAGGTCTAAACTAACAGCGGTACTCGGAGTTAGACTACCTTTGTATAGATTTAGTTTGAGAAATCTATACTTAAGGATTATCTTAGGGACCTATTAGTTGGGTTTCAATACAGGCATAGACTTATAACCTATTCACTTAATCCGAGGCACAATATTGAAGCGAGAAAAAAGGCCTCCGGAGAACTGTTGTATGGATAAATTCCCTCAGTGTTTTCTTTTGCATGAAACGCTCCATCCTCAGGTTACATATCTATGTATCTATATGAGGAAGACTATATCATCAGCCATCATGAGTTGGTTGTCTTGGGTCATGCGGTGCAGCGCAGCCTGCACCTCGTCTGAGGAGAAGGTTTGGTGAGAGTACTTGTTGTTCACATAACTTGTTACTTTGTCTAACGGTAGAGAGTTGGCTCGTTGCTCCCGGAACAACTGTTGCAGTGCTGACTTGAATTGTGTTAACCTGGAAATAAAAAATCGAGTTATTTTTGTACCTTACCAACAGTGAAAGTATTTTTTAAATCGGTTTAGTAGTCTCGGAGCAAACAAAAACAAACAAATCTTTCCTCTCTATAATATTAGTAAATAGATTAGAAGAAAGCTGTTGTGTGCGACTTTAAATACTAACAATAAGATTAGTATTGTGAAAAGGCACCTTCCTGTTTAATATTGGTTGTAATTTTTATAACATTAAAAATTTCTTGCTCATCTGCTTTGTACAAATCTTACAGCGGCAAAGAAACATTGACTATGCATATCTATGTTTGTCTTTAAATTATTCAAGATGTTTAAATAACCTTATAAAATGCTTATTTTTGTATACCGTACCTTTCAGCATCGATAGTAGATGTGCTGGCTGCAGAGGTAGCTGCGCGCTGTGACTCGGGCTGCGTGTCGTGAGCAGCTCGCAGCACGGGCTCCACCTCCTCGTCTGAGGAGAACTCGTATGGGTCTTCGCCATCACCTTTCTCCTGGAAATTAAATTTTATTGTCTTAGATACCGCGAGTTTCTGAGGAAAAATCTCTGTATAAAACATATCTTACTCTACTCATCCCTGTCATTTACTTTGACAAAATAGAGTTAACAATGTTTTTCCTCGCATCCATCTAGGCCTAGTTAGTTAGTTATATAAAAAAAATTGTGTTGCTCAGGTAATCTTACTAATATTAAAAATACGAACGTTTAGATGGATGGATGTTTGTTTGAAGGTATCTCCAGATCTCGATGAAATTTGGCATGGATGTAGAACATAGTCTGGAATAACACATAGGCTTCTAATTATGCTTTTTGATTCTTCATATAGACATATAGTCATATAGATTTTTGACTATCATTTTAGCATAGCTTATTTGACTGACCTTGCGGGATCTCTTGGCGCGGGGCTTCTTGGGGCGTTCGCTCTCAGGCGCTGCGCCCTCTTCCTCTGAGGAGGCGCGCCTCTTACGACGCTTCTCCTTGGTTAACACCTAATAAATAATTTTGTATTAATCATTTCATGTTATAAATTGAAAAATAACTAAATCAACAACATAAAGGGGTTATTAGAAATCTTGGGAGAGCCGGGCTGTTAAGTGACGTCCTTTCTATAAGCTATATTTTTATCAAGGTGACCCAAGGTCATCTGGGCTACGTAATTGTTTTTTATATTATAAGTTGGCAATCGAGCGTGCCATCGGAATTCGTCCATAGAAATCTGCAATTACAGGTGCGTTGTCTTTAATAAACAAAGGAGGAGATCCACAGAAAGAGAATATTTCCCCTGCCTATGTACCTCTCAGCCATAAAATTCAATTTTCCTTCACATAATTATAAGAAAAGGGTAAACCTTCTTGAAGTAAGCGAAGTGGAGCAGTTCGATAGCTGCGCGTGCGTCTTCCTCCGCCACTTGGAAGCTGAGCCTGCACTTGGCGTGTGCTGTCGCCAGACGGATCAGCGTCTCCAACGACCGAGCTGTCACCGGCTGCGTCTGCGCACGTACAACATTATTGATTTTTTTTCTTATCTTCAGTTCATATACGTCCGCACCGAGAAGCTAGGTTAGGTATTAGTTTATGTCCCCTCACTAATCATTCTGACATTTGACTTTGTAATGAAAACGCGCCATTCGTGTCAAATTATTCTAATTAATAATAATTTCTAAAACTTCTAACATCCATCCATCCAAACTTTCGCAATATAAGTAAGATGTATGTTGGTGTGGGTACCCTGGCGACGTCTGTCTCCATGATGTCATGGTTGCGGAGGCGGGTGTACTCGTCAGCGATGAGGTCGCAGGCGTCCTGTGTCAGCTTGGGACGCAGCAGCCGCGCTATGTGGATGTACTTCCGCATGAACCTGGTGCTCAGGATCTGCTCCTTCTTGCTGCGGCTGGCGCCGTGCAGCAGCTCGTCGTACTTCTCGTACATACTCTCCTTTGACTCCTGCAAATATATACAAATACAATTTTATTAGTAGCTAGCTGTCGCCCGTGACTATGCCCCCGCGAAATCAAAGAAATACCTTAAAAATAGCCTATATATTTTCTTAAATGTGTGTCAAATTTCAGAAGTTACAGAGATACCTTCTAACAAAGATTCATCCACCCATCCATCTAAACATTCGCATTTATAATATTAGTAAGAAGTAAGATAAGATTAAAAAGGTATAAAAATTAGTAAAAATAAAGCGTCTAAAGTATGTTAAAATTCACAAATTTTCTACTACTCGGAAACTTTGTTCGTAAAATTTAATAAAATTGTCATTTTTTTAATTACATTTTCATTTTAAATCAGTTGAATACGATCCTAAAACTATAACTAGCCCCATCTATTAACAAAAGCCAAGATAATTGGAAAGTATAGAACTCACGTCAACTTCTTCAGTATCAGGATTTTCAGTTGAAAGCATTTCCACTGTTGACCCCATTGGAAGCACTTCCCCGTCTTGTTCTTTCGGATTTCTGAAATAATTAATTTAACAATACTATTATTTCTATTTTAAACATTTAACATTTATTTATATTTAAAGCTGACTTGAATACTGTTTTATTACATTAATTAAGTATTACTAAGTCAAACAATCACAAAAATCGTAATTACAAGCTAAATTTAAGCAAATCTTAGCTAAACCGTGTCACTGTAATCAGTGACATGACTATTTAGTATTAAACGCATGTGAATCAACTCTGAATCGGTTCAAAAGTTCAGTTCAATCAGAAACGCAAATCTTACTAATATTATAAATGCGAATGTTTAGATGGATGGCTGTTTGTTTGAAGGTATCTCCACAAAGGCTGCATCTCGATGAAATGTGGCATAGATATAGAACATAGTCTGGAAGAACACATAGGCTATTCATTAACTTTTTTGTTATTCCAAGCAGATAAAATCGCGGGCCATAGCTAGTCTTTCTATAAAGGTACAAATTGAGCTGAGTTGGAAGTCCGTTCACTGATCTGCAAGTCATCAATTTTAGTGTCTCGTGTCTAGGTCGTGTAAATACCTGTATCTATGCATTCGTAGGACGTGTTCTGAGATGAGGTTGTCGTGATCTGCATCTGCAATATCCAGCATCACGAATAGCAGGTCGAAACGTGATAACAATGAATCTTGTAGCCCGATGTTCTCCATTGGTGTCTTGTATTGGTCGTACTATGACAGAATATAACTTTATTACTTGGATATGTCTATATCTTTTTTATTTCTCCACTGATTGTGTTAAAATAAAGGCTTAATGTTAAGTGAAGTTATCCAAATTACATTAGTGAAAACTGAAATCATATAGGTTAGACTGTTTAAGAGAATAATGTACACAAATTAACAGACATCACGACAAACAAACACTAAAAGTTGTAGTTTTAATTTTGTAGTGAATAAAAAAAATAGAGATGCTAATAAACCGACCATGTTAGAACATATTTTAAAAAAAGTTGAAGTTACTCCCGCAAACATCAGTTACCTTCCAATCTAAGACCCGTCATCAGTTCAGCCATTTCTTGTTATATTTATAATTTTTTCCCAATAACATAGAGATAAACCAATTTTTTTTTATTATAGATTATAATAGAATAGAGGTCTATGTAAACTTACCCTGCCATAGACGGGGTTAGCAGCGGCAAGTACGGAGCAGCGTGCATTTAGCGAGGCATGGACACCAGCCTTGGCGATGGTGACGCGGCCCTGCTCCATCACCTCGTGGATAGCAGTGCGGTCTATATCAGACATCTTGTCAAACTCGTCAATACAGACCACGCCACGATCAGCTAGCACCATCGCACCGGCTTCCAATCTGCAAATGCATAATAAGTAGCTGTAGCCTGCAACTCCGTCCGTGTTGAATTAAAAAATATTGAATTGCCTATGTGTTCTTCCAGACTATGTTCTACATCTATGTCAGATTTCCTCACGATCAGTTAAACGTTCTGGAGATACCTTCAAACAAACATCCATCCATCCATCCATCCAAATATTTTCATTTATAATATTAGTAAGATAAAATCACCAATATTTTTCTTAAGGTCAAATTAAACGTCAAGTAATTCAAAGATAAAATCAACCAATCCACACTGGGCCATGTTTAAGGCCTAATCACCCCCAACATAGTGTTAGCTCCAACCTCGAAAGAGATGTCTATCTACTTACAAAAATACGTGTGTTTTATAACAAGGCTTAAAAGCAAGCTTTTATGACCTTTACTTTTTCTTGTTCTACTAAACTTACCTTCTATCCCCAGTATCAGGATCAGTGGTGACGGCAGCAGTGAGACCCACACCGGAAGACCCTCTGCCAGTGGTGGTGACCGCACGCGGAGCTGTCAGCAGCACATAGCGCAGTAACTGAGACTTCGCCACTGATGGGTCTCCGATTAATAAGATGTTTATATCACTGCAAAAAAAATATATTAAAAAGTGCAAAACTCCAAAGATTGTGTAGTTAGTACATTACAAAATAGACTTAAATTGGTCTATCGTTCGTCATCGTATAGTCAGTGTCAGTGTTTCCGTCTAGCTATAACGAGGGTGCCTTCAAGAGTAGGATAAATAGGTACTTACTAAGCTAGTGTGTATACTTCGACCACATAGCCACTTACTATCAAGTCGGTTTATAGTCAAGCACTAGTATATTTAATATAAAAATTTAAAATAATTGCTATACATACTAAAATTTAATTCTATCATAAAAGAGCGACGGTGGCTCAGGGGTTAAGCACTTGACTTGCAATCGGCAGGTCCTGGGTTCGAACCCAGGCATGTACCAATGTGTTTTTCAATTTCCGATATATGTACATCTATCCGACGTTCTTATGGTGAAGGAAAACATCATGATGCAACCTGTACATATCTAAGAAGAAATTCAAAGATATTTGTGAAGTCGACCAACCCGCACTTGACCGGGTGGTTGACTATGGGTAAGCTCCGAGCCTTCTTTATAACTCACCCTCTAAGTCTTGTTCCATTAGGCAATATTTTCTCCATGCCACCAAGCAATAAGCATAGAATAGCCTTCTTGATATAATCATGTCCATGTATAGATGGAGCTAGAGATTTGCTTAACATTTCAAACATATCCATATTTGTTCGTTTTGCTAACCGCTTGCAAAGTTTGATGTCTTCCATTGTGATTGCTAAGTCCGCATCTTTGTTTATTTCTGTTACATTATTTGCTATCAAAATTGTCCTGGAAATATGTTTTTTTTAAACTAACTGAGATTATAAGAAATCAATCTTACTATCTTACAATACTAATATTATAAATGTATATGTATAAATTAAGCATAGATGTAGAACATAGGCTACTTATTAATTAGTTTGTTAGTTTTATTTAATTCTGTGTGGTTGGAGCCATGGGCAACAGCTAGTAATTCATAAATTCAAAATTTAAAGCTAGAATAACTTACCTGAATGTTCCTGCGGTGAAGCTACCTTGTTTAGATGGTAGACATCTATAGTTTCCGACAATCTGCACCCTGTCTCCCGGTTTACACTTGTCTACGAGATCATCATCACAGATCACGTCTACACTGCGAGGCAACTGACCTGCGGGTGCTCGCTCTGGCATTTCTTGTACTGTTAAGGTCTGATGATCCTTGTACCGAGATAAACCATATTCTGTCTCTAATGGATTGCCTTCATCATCCTAGAAATCCAAAATGTAAATGATATGTTAAAGGTCAATAAAGATTTTCATTTGCAATATGTCTTGAAAGAAGACAATATTAAAAATTGTTGGGTTAAAATTATTTGATTATTAATTTTTACAAACATAGTTATAGCTTTCAGTGTTCTATATTTGCTGAAATCAATAATATAAGATATAATAAAAAACACGGTTAATACCTTGGTAGGGTATACAGCAGAAGTTGGGAAAGCCTCAAAAGAAGTCAAATCAGTATACTTCCTCTCCATAACCTTCTTAGTGACCGGACAATAGTGTACACTCCTTACCACCTTAGGTCGCACCAGAGACACCCTCGTCACTATACCCTCCACACAAATTAAGTTACCTAAGTAACTGTGAACAAAACATAAAAAGTTATTTAAATGGGCAGTCGATCAGGATAATAAGGAAAGCAAGTTTGTATTCTGTTTTTATTTACTAACCGTGAAGTTAAACTTCTCGGTGTGACATGTTTAGTTCCAAAGCTACCAGAAAATGCAACAAAAAACTCTTCCATTTCTTTAGCAAATGTTGGATCAATTGATGACACATATTCCTTAAGAGCCTTTTGAAATGCAATCTGCTCTTCAAAAGCACTTTCTAATAGATTTTTGGCACGAGCTGGATTCTTTCTTCTAAGATCATTAATATTTACAACCAGTCGTTTTTTGCCGGCCGAAATCATTTCTTTTACTTTTTCCATGTATACCCCTTGGTCTTCCTGAAATTAAGAACCGATGTATTAAATGCTGTTCATTCACTTTATCTTAGAAATACATTTTTCTAACTTACTTCATCGTCTAAAAACTCTAGATATTCTCTTTGCAAGTCTCTTAAACGTTGATCAAAATCTCCGTCTTCCATAGTTAGTGCTATTTGCTAATAATACAAACAAAACAAAACAAAACTTTTAAACCTAAATTAAAACGACAAAACTAAACGATACATCTGAAGAATTTGGCGCGAAATATATTAGACTTCATTCAGTATGATGACATTGACATTATCAGTTAATAGTTAGTTTTTTTTAATTTTATGACCTGGTAACATAGACCTTTAGGTCACAATGGTTAGTTTGGCGTATGATTTCAAAGAGCAAATAAAAGGTGTATCGCTTATATTTATCCCACTATTTCGGCTTCACGTTTGTAAAATTCATTAAATATAATTTATTCTTATGTATGATTTCATAAGCAATACATTAAGCCTTTTACAACTTTCCAAGTAAGATTTTTCCGAAGAAAATGAAATAAAGTTTTCTTCGACATTGATAGCTTAAGTATACTCCGTTCGTTCCGATCTCTTTGATACTCCGCTTGACAATTGACAGATGCTGTCATCTATCACTGTCACCCGATGAGCGTTTGTATGCCGCTAATTGTTTGGTTATATTCAACGTTTTCCTGAAGCATCCTTTTAAAGCGACTAGGATTAATCATTGTTTCCTACAGGGTGTGTAAAGTAACTCGTCACATTAAATGGCTACATAGCAAAACTTTTCGCAAGATGACGGAGCCTAACTCTACTGTGGACTCTCCGCCAACAAACGATAACCATAACACAAAACAGAAGGATAAACAGAAACTGAAGATTCTAGCTTTCCACGGCTATCGCCAGAACGGTGAAGTGTTTAGGGGAAAATTAGGTTCTTTTAGAAAGACTCTATCAAAGTACGCGCAGCTGGTTTTCTTCTCTGCTCCGCATAAAGTTGTAAACGAAGACGACGACGATGAAGGTAATCTCTTTATTAAATTAATTACATAGCTATAATGTAATTATATAATTTTGTGAGAAGGTTTTAATAAATTTTATTGTAAAATTGTTCTAATCCATTAAAATATAAAATGCTTTTTATTTTCAATTATAGATCGCAGATCATGGTGGTTCAATGCTGAAGACAATTCATTTAGTGGTAAATGTTTGGGAGGTCCTGCTATTGGATTTGAGGATACATTACGTTTGGTAGAGAGCATAGTTACAGAATATGGGCCATTTGATGGTTTTATGGGTTTTTCACAAGGAGCCTGCCTAGTTGGCTTACTAGCTGCAATGCAACAGAAAGGATGTTAGTAAACTTTTTTTTCAACTACAGTACTCTTAATGAATGAAGATCAAATAATTTATTTACCTATGACAATAACTTTTGAATTGAATGAATGAATTACATTTTTTTTTATTTCTAGATCTGCCTTATTCATTTGATTTTGCAATACTTGTATCTGGATTCCGATCAGGCAGTTTAGTACACAAAGGCTTTTATGATGAAGACATTAATTTGCCATCTCTACATGTTTATGGAGAGAGTGATTCTATAATACCCAAAGGTAAAATAATTAGTCTGATTAATATTATATATCAAATTATTAAGGAAACAATTAACTATTTTTCTACTCTTTTTTTCAGAAATGAGTGAGTCTTTAATTAATTTATTCAATAAACCAATTGTGGCAGAGCATTCTGGTGGGCATTATGTTCCATGTTCTGGTTCACTCAAGGAAATTTATCTCGATTTCCTACACGATAGATATAGTAATGATAAAGATGAAGAAAAAAATGGAGATGAAGAAAATTCATTTTCATAATGCCAGGAAGGCGTTTTAGTTAATTCCTCAGTATTGGGTACTGAACTGTAAAGATACTAAACGTAATAAATAATTGTAAAATTCAAGTGCCTTTAATTTAATTATCTCTTTTTATTGTATTTTTTGCCATTCAGAAGTTATCGGACTTTAAGTGTCGGTTTTTTTGTTTTATCATTATCTATAGCTGGCTTAAAAGTCTCGTTATCAGGCATTTCCATTATCAAAATACTTTTTGGTTCCTTCAAAGTGTCAGCTGTCAATAATTTGAGGTTATGTTTTGGTTAAATGTTTTAATGTAACGGTGTTGTTTTTGTATTTAAATAGTGAAATTATCTTAATAATATAGCGTAGGATATAACATTAAATATGTGGCGCCGTTATTTATTGTGGTTTGCCCATGAACATATCGACTTTCGACATGCTGTAAGTTTACAAAGATTTAATTTTCATATGAAACTATTTTTAATTAAAATGTTATACTTATTTTGTAGGAAATGCAAAGCATTATCTCCATGTTAGACATTCCAGTAAAATATATCGAAGAGCCAAGCATGAAGAAACCATATTGGATTGTTGAATTACCAACAGAAGATCATCTTAAAAAAATTGCAAATAGATCAGTTCTTCTTAAAAGCTGTATAGAACTGTGGTCCCATGCTAAAACCGAGACTGAGTTACATGAGAATTTAAAGCAAGCTGTTAAAAACACTTCTGGTAAATGGTTAACTACCCAAGACCTAGGTGTTGTTGGTTCTAACTCACAAATTTGTCCAAGTGAGCAGATTGAGGCATGTTGTGATCTTAAAAAGTCATTCAAAGTAGATGTAGAAACATTTTGTAAACATTTTACTATGAAGGAAAAGGTTCACAAAATTGAGGTAATTTTTTCAGCCTTTTATTCAGAGTATATGTCATAAATGTTATTTAAATACATCATATTTCCAGAACTTTAGTTACCTGCCACTAAAGGGTCCAGTGAAATTAAAAAATCCAGATATAATATTGTCATACTTTGAATTCTATGGAGTTGATCCAAATAATGTGCCTGACAAGCCTTATGATGTGTTCTTTGGAAGATGGGTAAGTATCCCAGCTATTTAATAAGTATTATCTTACTATATTATTAATATTCTTATATATTTAATACATTTTATGTCTAGCAATTTAACACTATAATTCACAGTAATGATTTCATAGTCTAGAAGAATACATAGCCTACTAATTAACGATGCCGTAGGCAACAGCTAGTAAAAAATAATACCTATTCATAATATTACCCAAAAATTAAAATATTTTAGGTAACAGATGGCCAAAGAGACCTTATTCAACACCATTCATTAAAACGTCGTCATTTCATTGGCAACACAAGTATGGATGCCCAGCTGTCATTGATCATGGCTAACCAGGCACAGATAACATCCGGTCATATTGTACTGGACCCCTTTGTTGGGTCTGGCTCTTTACTTGTTGCTGCGGGACACTTTGGTGGTATGTATACTAAAGAATGTCTGGAATGTTATAATTGCAAAAGTTTGGATGGATAAATGTTTTTTCAAAGGTATCTCCAGAATGGCTGGATAAATCTTCCTAAAATTTGGCATAGATATAAAAACAGTGTATAAGAACACATAGGCTACCAAGTTTTTTTAAATTCCGCGCGAACGAAGTCGTGGCGACAGCTAGTATGTGATAAATAGACAAGCCTTAGGAACTATGTTTGACTCATTTGTATGATTTGTGCTGAAACATTCATACATACACATTGTCTCACATTTTTGTGCTTAGAAATTAGTATTGTGTGTATTTTTGTGTTTAGCTCATGTTTGGGGTTCTGATATTGACTTCATGATGCTGCACGGCCGGACGCGGCCCACACGAGTTGGACAAAAGGTAACAAAGTATGTATTTCATGGGTTTTTAAGGTTATGTTGTTATGTAAAAATGTTGTTCTTTCACAAAGTTACTGAGTAAATTTCTTAATACTTAAGTTTCCATTATAAAGAAAGACATTATCACTCCACTCAATCAAGGGTGTAGAGTTAGAAGAAACATGATACAAAATATTTAGGTATGAAACCAGCTCTATTTACATTATATTGTCGACATTTTTACTTGTATTTTTTTTGTTCTATTCTCTTTGAATTTTGTTACTGAAAAATCTTAATATTTTATAGGCCGTAGTGTTATTACTATTGGTGAATCTGGAGGTAATACCGCAAAGAGCCCAGATTATAACAAACTTCAAGAAGCGAGCCTATCACCACCTCAAAGGCCGGCAACGCATCTGCGGTTCCTCTGGTATTGCTGATGTCCATGGGCGTCGTTGAACACTTCGGTGTTCCCGCTGCTCGTTTGCCCCCTTCTGTTATAAAAAAAAAAAAAAAAACTTTTAGTAAGACATTACGTTATTAGGTACGTGCAAGTGAGGAGAGCATCCGAGGCAACATGAAGCAGTACAGCATTGACTCCCGTTACCTGGACGTGGTTATTAGTGACTTCTCTCTGCCCATGTGGAGGGAGGGCCTCAAGTTTGACGCTATTGTTACGGATCGTAAGTTTAATGCATGCTAAAAAGAAACTAAGAATTTTCTTCTTAAATCTAATTAAGTGGTTTGTAAAGATAATTTTACCAGAAAAATGATCTGGTTGCATATTCTGTGAAAAGCAACCAAAATAAACATTGGTCATTTTGACCATAAGCATTTACAAATTCAACCTTCATTAAAACGTTATTAGAATGAGCCATGGTTCTCTGTCACTAAGTTTTTTTTAAATTTAGCACCATATGGTGTACGTGAACCAGCCGAGAAGATAGGAATAGAGAAGGAGAATTACACTCTCTCCGAAGAGCATCAGATCAATCATATTCCTTCCAAAGTGGAGTACGGATTGCCGCACATATACAGCGATCTGTTGAACTTTGCCGCAAGACATCTGGAGATGGGCAGGCGGCTTGTGTGCTGGTATCCTTTAGTCAGGTAAGCAATATTCAACTTAATGGCTTTAGATATAAAACTCAATTTTACTTGTATTACGCAATGGAGATTTTTTTTATTCTTTTCGTGATATAAAAATAAAGCCAAGTTTTAAATTCAAATAATAGATGTATCTATTAATCTTTAGATTGTTAATAATGTCATTAAAGGGAAGAGTACAAAGAGGATGAGTTACCTTGTCACCCCTGTCTGCGACTGGTGGGTAACTCGGAGCAGGTGTTGTCCAAGCTGACTGCACGTCGACTGCTTACCTACGAGAAGGTGCATGATAATGTACCCAACATCCCAGTAGACCCCAACTCAGCAGCACATAACTTCAGGTATTTCTTTTTTAACCAGTGTATTTTCTACTAGCATTTCTTATTTTGGCCAATTATTTAGTGTAGTAATAAACTATTAAAAAAAATCTTGCTTATATTATAAATGTGAATGTTTAGATGTATGGATGTTTGTTTGAAGGGATCTCCAGAACGGCTGAACAGATCTCAATGAAATTTGCCATACATATAGAACATATTCTGGAAGAACACATAGGCTACTAATTGTGGGTGTTTTTAATTCGGTATAAAATAGAGAAGAGAGAAAAAGTATTTCTAAATTTGTCTATGTAAATTTTGTACTCTATATCTTTGGTTCATCAATGAGAAATGTTTATAGTTTAAATATTATCTACCTTTATATTTTTTTTTCAGAGAAAAATATTTTTCAATCGGCGAGATATCGAGGAAAGAAAGGAAAGAGAGGAAAGCGGCGGAGATTGTTGCGAACGCAGCGTTCATAGCGCTCGCTCACAATAAGAAAAATAATCTTCATGACAAATAATTCACTGAAAAATTAAATAAAGCATAATTAAATTATATATATTATAATTTTAATATTTTTTTTATTTACGGAGAAACTCAATTAGGATTTTTTTTAAAGTAGGATTTGTTGTGCAAATGGAAGGTGATAAATAAATATATTTTTCATTTATCTTTCTGAATATAGAAACTTAAATTTTTATTAGAATAAATTCAACAAAATAATTGTTTACAATATTCCGTAAATAAATTCACCAAAATCCTTTATATAATAACATAATTATTTATCTATACCTATAAATACAAATTATACTATGTTTATTATTACAGCTTTTGGAATTCTGTATTTTACCTGAAAAGAAAAAAGATAACCACTATATATTTTGGTATATGGACAACACTAATATAAAAAAGTAAGTTATTACTGGACAGGCTATAAGCCATGGTTTTTTGTGCCTATTTGATTTTCAGCGCTGACGGTAGCAGTGTGGGAAACTTGAATTAATAAGAGATAGAATAAACTGGCAGTAACTTTTTTATTAGAACAATGCAAAAGCTGTCACCTTTCCAGCATATAGTTATATCTGTAACAGTTATACATAAAAATACCTTAATATATATATTTTTTATTATTCAGCGAGGGAGAGAGACAACATCATGTCAGTGAGGCCGAGCTTGGCCTTGGCCTCTCGCTGCTTGGCGGTGACTCTAGACTGCGCCCACTGGGACAGCTTCCAGGCCTCTTTGCGCTTAGAACTGCCCGATGATTTGTAGTGACCAACTAGATTGTTTGCAACCTGGTGATAATTTACATTATTTATTATATTACGCTATACCTGAAATTCTGATTTGATTGTGTGTTTTAAAATCTTTAATTAAACTTACTAAGAACAATCCGAGTAGTGCGCGCACATTGTCCGGATTCAATTTCAAAGATTGGCAGTAATAGGTTTTTGCCAACTCCATGTTATCAATACCACCCTGCAATTGATACTAAATCTTACTAATATTATAAACGCGAAAATTTGGATTTATGGATAGACGTTTGTTTGAAGGCATCCACACGTTCAACGGTTTAACAGATCTCAATTACATTTGGCACAAATGTAGAACATAATCTGGAAAAACACATAGACAACTAATGATTTTTTTTTAAATCCACGCGGACGTAGTTGCAAGCGACTGCTATGTAAAGTATAATAGCACTAATAAATTAGACATTTGTTTCAATTATGTTTTTTCTTAACTTAAATATACAAACGTAACATACCATAGTGTACCGTATATCAGCGAGCCGCTGATGCATGAGATGGTTGTGTGGCTGGTGCAAGAGCAGCTCCTCGGCGCAGAAGGCGGCGCGCGAGTACTCCTGCACCTGCAGATAAAGTTCGCACAGCTCCTGCCATGCTTCTGCATCTGACATGAACCTAATTTATACAGCATTATAAATATTATATTTATTTCAATTAATTCACACAAAACACTACCCAGACTTAAGTCATTTGAAGCTCTGCAAAAGCATTGCAACTGATGTAGAAAGTGGATTTTTAACATTGGTACATGTCTTCAATATAACTCATCACAACAATAAATCAAAGATCAGGCAATCATTTATATTTCCTACTAATAGATTAAAACGACAAAATACTGACTTACTTCTTTAAATAGTCCACAAGTTCTTTGATAGCTTCATGTATGAGACCCTGTGCTTTGAGCACGGCGACGCGGCGCTTGCGTGCCGGCGCGTTTGTCTCATCCGCGTTGATTATACCATCCAAAACATTTAGTGCTTCATCGTACCTATACAGTACACCTTTTCAGTTCTATGTGATTTCAATAAATCATTTATCAAGAGAGTTATTTAAGAGTTATCAAGAGTTAACAAAACCTACTCACTTAAAATGTTAAAATATCAATATGATAAATCTCTTGAGGAATTAAAGAGTACTATAAATAAATTTAAAAATTTCCACTGCAAAAAAGAATGTCAATGATATGGCTTCATATTATTAAAATTAACAATATTTACTAACTTTTCCTCCGCTTCTAATGCTGCAGCTTTGTAACGCATCACTCGCAGACTCCTTGGGAATTCCAGAGACAAAATATATATCAGCCCCTTAGCCAAACCATACAAATGACAATCCAACATGGCATAAATTATTTGCTCTAATAAGACATATTCTGAAATGGAAAAAATCATATCATATTATGATTAAAAAGAGTTACTCCCATATAAGCTACCTTTCAGTAAAATTCGGTATGGCAATGGACGAACATGGATTTGTGGAAGACAGACAAAATTTCATTAAACTGGATTATCATCATAAGCAATGCAATTACAACATATGAAATTGGTGTGTGACATTATATACAGACAGTCCAATTTTATTAAATGTATAGGTATATATTGATACTCACTTTCATTTCCATATTTGTTACTATGTGCTTGTAAAACATTCATCCAAAGTGCCACAACATCAGAACTTTTACGTTCATTATTTTCACGCCATTTTCGTAACAAATCATTAACTTCTAAAAAAAGATAAAGAAACCGATATAATTAGGTGGAAGAGTTTGTTCCATCAGGTAATTTCTATGAACATTGATTAAATGAAAAATTTCGCTAATTAATGCACAAAGTATGTGTACATTCTTTAATTAAAAAGGCATTTTTGCTAAAATGTACAATAGATTTCTGGAAAAAGTTTAAAACGATCTCGTGTAATGTACGTAGTACATTTCATATAGCTTAAAATTACTATTATGAGAATTCAGCATGATTAGCTTTTGAAAAGTTTACATTTAGAGTTTAAGTCTACCATTAGATTTTTTTCTGGATTTATTAATAAATTATAATGATACCTTAAAGCTTAAAACTTACCACTGTGACTTAAGTCATCGTAGGAGTCCATTTTTGTGACTAATGTGAAACGAACACGTAAACAATAACGAAATTATTTTCTTAGTTGTAATTCTATTGATTATTTAATTTTAATAGTTAATCTTTTATTTCCTGTGTTTTAACTTTTCGAAGCTAAAGTTGATAGCAAGATGACAATTGACAACGGCATGATCTGATAGTTGACAATTGACATTGACAAACAACAATGTATTTTTTTATTTGATGACCTGGTAACATAGGCCTTTAGGTCAAATAAAATAGTTGTGGATAGAGTAAATAGTATTTAAAACAAAGAGTAAAAAATTGAGATATAAAGACAAGCGATTTCTTCTCGTTTTATTTTAATGATTATTACCTCCTTCTACGCTTTTGTAAGAAAACCGGAAAGTTTAAAGGCTTAATATTTTTGATAAAAATGTAAATATTTAAATCTGAAGTCTTCTTACCCGTAATTGCAATAATCCATTTGGATTATTCTTATTATAAACTACGTAAATCGGAATACTAAAGTCGTGTGTGTATTCTTGCGTGAGCATTCTGTGGTGATGTGATGTTGAGCCTGTGATCAAGACGTCTGCAATATCACAATATGTCTGACTATTTGGAAATATTTTTAGAATAAGCATAGTCGTAAATGCATCTAATATCTATTTCAGATTTATAAATGCCATGGATTATACATGACAAATATAGTAAATAGGTAAGTTCTGTGAACGTGCCTTAAAAATGTATTCAGTTCTTTCTTCTTCGTATTCGACTTTTTTATATCTGAATGGCCTTTATCTCGAACTTTTGTTTTCTTTTGTCCTCTAGTTGTGTGTCGATCGAGTTTATTGATTTGGCGATGTAACATAAAACATATTATATTTATTTACATTTGTTTTGTCCGACAGATCGATAAGGGGACGAGTTACGTCGAGGATATGTGTTATTGTGGATTGTGCGACTTACGTGCGGACAGATATGTGCATGAGGAGGCTCGTTTCAAGAAATACAGTGAATTAATTGCGAGTTCCTTTTTGATATAACGTCACGCGACGTCGTGTCAGTTTTGTGGCAATTTGTGATATTGAAGGTGTAAACATGGATTCGAGAGTTCAGTGCCCTGTGTGCACTCTATACTTACACAGTGGAATGACTTTGGAGTCTCATTTGGACACACATCCAAAGGATCAAGTTATAAAGGCTTTATGTAGTCTCTCAAGTAAGAACACCAATTATGGGAGTCGTACCACAACTCCTTCGCAATCTGAGCGTTCCTACCAGAGTCGATCTCGTACTCCAGCGGCAGATGACAGCATTCGGTGGATGGGCTCTCACCAGAGTTCTGATAGCGAAAAATATTGGAGAAGAACACCAAGTAGAAGTAAATTAACACCACTTTCTAATCCATCAAGAAATGTCACACCAGATATTAGAATTGGTGAAGTTAATTTTGAAAATAGTCATATTAACCATGGAGGTCAGTATTCTGAAAATTGTTATACAATGAAACTAGACAAACCTCAGCAGACATATGCATCCAATGTCCGAGTAGCAGAATTTGACCAACAATACCCATATTACCCTGATCAATGTGAAGATCGGGAGATTAAATATTCTCGTAGTTTGGACTACAATACAATTGATAGTTCAGGTAATGCATTTACTTATAACATGCCTCAGCTTGCTCTGAAGACTCCTGCATCTGTTGCATCAACCTTAGTACCACCGAAAAAAAGTAGTGACCTCGTTAAGTTAATGCCCAAACCTGAGTTTGTTAAATTACTGCCAAAGTCTAATAATATTCTCTTCAAAAATATGAGCGGAGTACAATATATAGCACCAGGTGTTAATGTAGTGATGCCACCATCACCTTTTGTCCAAAAGAATGTTCAAAGTAACATGATAATGTCTGGAAATTTACCTCCAAATGCAACAATGAACACTAAAGGAGGTCAACCTATCATCCCCAATCAGTATAACCAAATGGGACCCAGTACCTTCTCTCCAGGCACTACAGTGGTCACTCAAAACTCACAGATTATATATAGAGAAATGGTTCATAACTTAGATGGTAAACCATTTATTTCAACTATGCCTAATATGCTTGGAGGTCATGACAACATGGGCAATGTCACTCAGAGTAGTTCTATATATCAGAATGTTGTAGTTGTTGACCAGTTTGGTAATACCTCATGTATGTATGCAAACCCTCAACAAATATTGCAAAAGCCTTGCAGTGCTACCATTTACCCTGACAACTCTTTACTATTAGCTAATGAACATAAGAAAAGATCTCATGATGATGTGGATTCCAATAAAACTTTAATAATTGAAGTTACCCCCATCAACACACCAGCTACTGAAATGAATGGTGATCCAAGTTCATCTCTTGGATCATTATCAGGCATGGATGATAACAGTAAATCAGAAGAAACTGAGCTAAAAAATGAACCTATTGGCACTACTAAGGGTCTTAAAATCCTGAGCAATATTAAAGTGGAAGTGCCAGTCCAACATAAGAAAAGTATGTTAAATACAGTAATGGATTTAACAGGAACCAATGATCAAGAATACCCTGAAAGGTCTGTTACACCAGAAAAAATATTACCAGATCTAGAAGACAACAATCAAAGTTTTTCTGATGAATGCACACAGCCTTCCGTAGCAAGTGGAGATAGTTTGGTGTCAAATGCTTTTTCTGTGATAAAAAATGTGGGAAATCCTCCAGCATACAAAGATTCGCCTTCCAAGTCTAGTATTGTAGGTAGCAAAATTGAAACTGAATTTTCGGATAGTTGTCCTGTACCTGATTTAATATGTAATGAGAAACCTTCTATATCTCCATGTAGTGAGTTATCAGAACACGGAGATAATTCTACAGATATTGTGCCATTGTCGCCTAAAGCTAACAGTAGTAGGAGTAGTCTAATGAATGAAAGTGTAGAAGAGAGTAAATTCCAACATAAGGAATCAAAAAAGAATACCCTCAGGTTGAACAATATCTATGTTAAAAAGCACAAGAAGATTCTGCAGATTAAAAATGCAAAAACAAATTTATCACTTGACTCCTCCAATAAAAGTGAAATGGAGCCTCTACCTTCCTCTTCTATGTGTAAAACTCCAGAAAATTTTAGCATAAATAAAATACATCACACTGATAAAATGGAAAGTCCTAAAACAAGTTCCTTACATACTGTATCTATTGAGAAATTAAAGGGTAATGACCATAATGAGTTTGATGCTGACACAGAGGAGCAGTCAATGGACATAGAACCTATAGCGCCATCTAGTTTAAATGATTCTAATCAATTTTCCATGCATGAGGTAAAGGTAAAGGAAGAATTTAGTGCCAGTAATGAGGGTGGCTTTAGTAACCAAGGCAGGCCCTTACAGAATGTACCACAATTAGAGAGTTTGAGACCTATAAACGTGATATCATACGGTAACATGGTTCCTGGAGATTTTGATAATGATTCCAACCACAGGGAACTATTAGATTTGGAGGCTTCATCGAAGAATAAGCAATTTGTTAATATGATGAATGAAAACTATTTTGGTGATAATATTTACGCAGACTACTTCACTCCAGATCGGGTTGAATCTTTTGAGGCTCAGAAGGAATCTAATTTTAGAGAAGGGCCGAAAGATAATATGTATATTTGGGGTGAGCCTTCCCAGAAGGAATCCGAGTTTGTGTTGCCAAATTTTATTCATGAGAGTTACAAGATAGCTGAGAGTAATGGGCCTGATTACTCGGAGATGGGTGAAGGAGGTAACGTTGGTATGACTGATCGTTGTGAACAGGATAGTAAAGTGGACATGCTGAGCGAGAGTCGAAGTGAAGGAGAGACTCCATTAAATATTTGTGCAGATGAGCGCATGCCACCTCGTGGAGAGCTCAGTGGACAGGAGAGTAATGGAGATATGGAGTCACCATGGAGTGGGGTAAGGACATTTAATTTTTTTTTTCAAATCTTACATTACATACAGCAATTTTAATTTATCAATAATTAGCTGTCACCCGCGACTCTTTTAATTGGTAGCCTATGTGTTCTTCTAAACTATGTTCTATATCTATGCCAAATTTCATCCAGATTCTTTGAACCGTTCTAGAGATACCTTTTAAGAAAAATCCATTCCTTCCAAAAAGGTAAACAAGAGTGTTTTGGTTAAAAACATGACATCAAATCTATAGGTTTGATGCTGGCTGAATATAAATTTATTTTTCGATTTTCGAATTTATACTTGTTTTAATACGATTTTCTCTCTTACTCATATACTCTTATCAAACATCTTATGAGTATTCAATTTGAAAATATTTTCCTTCCAATAATTAGTAAGGAACTATTTTAAGCTAAAAAGTAACATTTAAATTTACGTAGTCACTTATGTTTTTATGTGATGGTTAAAAAACATGAAATTTGTTTGTAGTTTTTGTTGTTGTATTTCAGATGTACAATGAGGTTACACCTTCGGAGCCGTACGACCTGATGGCGCGGGAGAGCTGGGTGTCAGACGGCTCTGATGTGGACACAAATGAGAAACGGGATAACATGTTAGTAATAAAATATTGCATATTAAAATTATCTTATGTAAATTGATTATTGGGGGGTTTACGAAGTATTTTAATTCACATTTTACTTGTTATAAAGTTTGTTTTTTATTTATTATTTTCTTACTAAACCTATTTTGGATAGGTTCCTACGACACATGTGAATTATGTACAATATACAGTTTCATACATAAAAAAGCCACCCATCCTTTTTCTTATAAGTAAAGGATGGAAAGTGAAAGTGGATTTTCCGGATGAAGGAATGTATGAGAAGGGAAAATATTCTCTGCGGCCGCTCGCTCGTTCCCGTTTTATGATAAAATGACTGTTTAGTCAGTCAAGTAAAATCATAAAACTATAGAATTGGTATTTCCATACAATTTTAATAAATTTGCTATGAATAAATATTTCAGTGAGGACGACCTTCACTTTGCGAAGAGCAGACTTCACACGTGTTCACAATGCGGTATCAAGTATCCATCACTGAAGGAGCTCCGGACACACAAGGCACTCGCCCACTCCCTGCCTACCTGCTCTAACGGGAAGACCAGCTACAGTCGCCTTGTCACTGCGAGGAGTATCAAAAAGGAGGAGAAACTGGATGAAACTGTTTTGGAAAGTAAGTAATTTGTGTCTTAGAAATATTGAGGGGAAAAAAGTATTGGCTATTTTATGATTGGAATTCAATATCTTTATGATTGTTGTATTGTGTAAGAGTTTTTTCAAGCAATTCATTTTAGAGTACATTTTTTAATGCAAATAAAATTGTGCTTTATACATATCTCATACTGGAATGATACAAATATTTTAATAAAGACAGTAGTCTTCAGAATAATCAACTACATACTGTGCTGTAGTAATAAGTTACCTATTTTTTATCCTCTTCATAGCCGTCGCTAGTGAAGAATTAGAAAAAAAGCGAAATTAGTGGTCTATGCATTCTTCTAGACTAGGTTCTACATCTATACCAAATTTCAGCAAGATCCATGCAGCCAACATTCTCGTTTATTAAAGCTCTTTTATTTCTTGTATCGCTATTTAAGTATATATTTTGATTCTTTGATATTTGAAATTATGTTGTTTTTAGGGAATCTCCTAACAATAGATTCAAAGGAATCGATGGCAACAACTATGCAGCAAGTGTATGATGCTATCGCAGAAGCTAAGCCAGCTATAGAAACATTAGTAAAACATGAGACAAAGAGGAAGAAGAAAGACTACATCTGTCCAACATGCAAGGTGGATCAGTTAACAGAAGTTTCGTTCAATGCCCATCTTAAAATACATCCATTGGAGTGTCTTACATGTGGAAAGTGTTTCTTCAAAAGAGGGAGCCTCGCACTACACATGAAAACGCATTTAGGAATCAAGAATTTTAAGTGAGTTGGTACTTAAATCTGTTGTTTACTGTCGTAATAGTAGTAATATCTTATTTTATAAAATTATATAAATAATAGTAACCTATATAACAAACATCCATCCATACAACCATCGTTACATACATCCAAATATTCGCATTTTTAATATTAATAAGATTTGATTTATAATTTGCTTCTATGCATGTTCTATGAATTTAGACTAAGTCGTCTGGTAAATCATTTTTTTATTTTGCATGGATGTCACGTTATTTGATAAATTGATGGTATTTTATATTCATCATATTAAAAGTTATTAAAGCTTAATTTGAAAAAAAAAGGTTTAGAAAATTACTGGCTAGTAATGTATATTTGCTGATGTTATATTTGGTAACTAGCGGTCGCCGGCGACTCCGTCCGCACGGAAAAAAACCATAATTAGTAGCCTATGTGTTCTTCCAGATCCGTTCGGCCGTTCTAGAGATACCTTTAAATGGACATCCATCCATCCATCCATCTATCCAAACTTACGCATCCATAATATTAGTAAGATTATATGTATGTAATTGATGTTGTCAGATGTGATCTGTGCGAGAAACGTTTCGTGACGCGTCAGAAGATGACTGAGCACCGCAACGTGCACACGGGCCGCATGCCCATCAAGTGCACCGTCTGTGATGACACCTTTCGAAGATATTCCAACATGGCTCAGCACAGGTGACCAGCACAGAAACAAGACGAAAATAAAAAATAAAAAATATATATGGGCTTTATCATCGACACTCCTTTAAAAAAAATTGTGATTCTGACCATAGCATGTTAAAGATAACAAAATGCCTGTCAGATTTTTTTTTATAGAATATGCTTATAGTAGAACCAAATATTTTAAAGTCTGTTTTTCGCATTCAGGGACCGCCACCATTTCCAGAAGAGGGCAAAGGTCCGCGATTTCGTGTGCCACTGCGGTGCGGTGTACCACTCGCGGGCGAAGCTCCTCTGGCACAAGGAGACACACGACGCCAAGCCCAAGTCCTGCCTCTACTGCAGCGACAAGTTCGTGCACTCCTCCTCACTGACGCGTCACGTACGACGTACGCACAATGCGCACTTTCTCTCTGATAAGGTGAAGGGGAAGGAGGTTAATGTGCCTTGTCCTGTTTGTAAACAGGTCAGTCTATTCTTTTATTCTTTTGTTAATCTACAATTTCGCCCCATACTCTATAATTTTTTGCTTGGCACTAAACAGCTGACATCCGTAGATAATCTTACTTTTTACTATTAAAAATATACGAATATTTGGGTGGATGTGTTTGTTTCAAGGTATCTACGGAACGGCTGAATGGATCACGCTGAAATTTGCCAAAGATGTTGAATATAGACTGAAAGAACACATAGCGCGGACGGAATTCCGGGCGACAGCTAGTAGGGCACGAAATTATGACAAAAAATAATATATTCTATTTTCCATTTTTCAGATATACCTAAGATCGAATTTACGTGCTCACCTATTAATACACAGCGGTAAAAAGCCGTATCCGTGCGTCATATGCAACAAATCCTTCACAACCAAGTGGAATCTCAAACTGCATCGGTGGACTCATATGAGCCGGTCTGCTAAACCGTTCAAGTGCCATCTGTGTAAAGGTGCCTTTATAAGATACACGGAGTACATATCACATATGAATTCGCACAAGTCTCTAAGACCTTACACGTGTAATTATTGCGGTTGTCAGTTCATCAGAAAATATAATTGTCAACGTCATGTCAGAGAACACGAAATGGCAAAGAAGTTTGTCTGCAAAGTGCCGGAATGTGGGAAATCTTTTCACAGAAGTTACTATTTGTCGGAACATATGAAAGTACATAGTGGAGCGAGGCCGTTCTCGTGTAATATATGTGGGAAAACTTCAAGCAATAAATCTAACCATAATAAGCATGTGAAGATACACCATGCTAGAGAGCCCGTGGCAACTGAGGCATAAGCCTCGGCTGGTTAGTGTATGGTGACTTAGTGGTTTGTTGGTGAAAAGTGTTAAGTTCTTAAATGTAATTAAGGTTGTGCTACTTTGCTACTTATAATATAGCAACATATTTTTGAAGATTTAATTTGACATTCTTGTCATATGGTACGTCTGACTCACAACGGCATTTGTAAGTATTTTTTTTTAAAAATGTTCATAGAATTTGTTTAATATCTTTTTAAATTTGACACTTAAAGTTAAATACACAAATACATTTGAAATATGTATGTTTTTAGAACCAAAATATTGATTATTTACCGTCTAGTAAGTAGATGTCATGAACATAACACTTTTTATCAATACATTAACCGTTTTTGGGTAAAACCTGGCATTTTTCAAGTCACCAAATTGTAAATAGTTAGTTAAATTTGAAATTAAATTGTATCTTGTAAATACAGGACCAAGTGTGTTGAGAAAGGGGTTTTTAGGAAGTGATTTATGGTTAACAAATTACTCACGCAAACTTTAATATGACTCGAAAAATTTTATATTCTAGCAAATTGTACTTAAGTTTATCCAATTAATTCCACTTTCAGTGACTATAGAGTTTCTTTTGCTATGATTTTTCACTGTTAATATTTATTCAAAACATAACCTCTTCTATTCTTTCCGATAAAATTGAGGTACAGTATTATGAAAGGATGTTAAGGTGTGTGTGGAAACTGGCTATAATTATCTTTATCTTATTTGACTGTACTACATTATATGGACAGTTAATTAAATAAATATGGGTTGCCAGTTCTGTAAAATCCATACAAGATTTGATTTCTCTTTTTATTTTACGAGACTGAGAATGATGGCAATATGTTTGTATGTCTGCGGTAACTTTGATATTGGTGAATAAAAGCAGAAAATAGAATAATTTTAGTCGATTTCTTGGAACTTGCAACTGTGTAATATTTTGGGTTCATATTAAAGTTTGTCAGTAAAGAATATTTAGTCAAATTCTAACTTGGCCAATTCAGTACTGGTACCCCGCTACAAAAAGGAATTTTTTTTTATCAATATGTCTTCTTTTCTGTCGACATTTTGTTTAGATGTGTTGTAACATTGAAAAATTTGTTTGTACCGAAGTTTGACACATGATGAATTGTTGCCAGTAAAAAAAATGACACTGACTAGATTAATTTTATTTTTTAAGTAGCATAATTTTTATTTTCCACAACAATTCAGACTTACGATTTACTTCAGACTTACAGATTTAATTAAATTTAGTAGTACATTTGATTACTGTTTTTTACTTAATAATTGATTTATCAAACTGATTTATAGCTTTTCTTGTAAACAATGTGTTGTATGTCATGAATTGTTTTATATCTACTTGATTAATTTTCTAGTTGTAATTTAATTTATTTTTACTGTTACACTTGGGTTAGAGTATTAGATAAATTCAATTAACTTATCCCTATCGTTGGTACGAGTTTTAATTTTTGTTTAATATGATTTTCTTCTCTAATGTTCCATTAATTATGACAAAGAGTGTTTATTGTGAAGGATATTTATAAAGCAATAATGAATTGTGACTTAATAAATGTAATTTAGACAATTTTGCTTGCAACAAAAGTCTTGCGTTTTTTATAAATGTGTTGCCATAAAAATTAATATATGAATTGCCACAGTTAAATAAAAATTTGTGCGTATTAAAAAATACATATTAATATTAATTGTAATGTTTTAAAGTATTCTTAACTGTGATCAATGCGTGTGGAATTCTGTATCCTATTTAATCTACATTATATTTCTCTAGCTCTTTTACATATGTTACCTGTTGAAAATTTTACTTTATGAAATCTTCTAACATATTTTAAAAGAACATCTGTAATTGAGGATGTCTATGGGCAATGTTCGCTTCGCTATTTCGATGAATTGAGTTGGCCGCTTGCTCGATGGCCACCTTATAGTATAAAAAAATAATTATAATAATATGATATGATAATTGATGAATTGTTATCAACATATTTGATGAAAAAAATTACAGCTGTTCTCCTCTTTATTGAATGGCTTGATTAATGTTTTTGATGTTCTCTCTTCAATTACAATGAAATTTTATATTATGCTCTATGTGTGTAAAACATTTTATACACTCAAAATCTGTTAATTATTATTTGGATGTATTTTATAGATTCAGATGCTGTCAAATACCTGATATAAATTACTTTATTTCTAAAAAAAATAATAGATTTCAATTTTAATTAAGAAATGAAATTTAAAAAGATTTACTTTAGTATCTAGTCGCATATGTTGGGAGTATATGGTCATAAAGTTATATTTTCAACAGTTATCTACTATAAATATCTGTATAATATATAGTGAATTTATTTACATTGTATACTTCGAGATACGAAAGTTGAACCATGTGGTAACAGTCGGTTGCAAAATATTTGCCCTTAATTCTTTCTTATTTACCAACTGGTTTGTATAACTTCGTAAAGATATTAAATTTATTGAAGTTACTTTACTTTTTCAAATATTTACTGTCAAATTAAAAATGAAACGCAAAAATTGTTAAAATTCACTTGCAATTTTTGACAGATTGAGGTTATGTAAGCGCCTTTTTGGAAAAAATAGTTGCCTTGTCATTTTTGACTATTTTTGCATTTGAAAGTTCATAACTTCGTGTCTCGAATTGTATTTTTGGATTGCTTCATTATCTAAATTTATATAAAAAAACACGTAATGTGCAATTAGACATTGGTCTGTTGTTGAAATGACGAAGCACTGCCGTGAATATTTAAAAAGATATATTTTAATAGTGTTGCAAAGGAATGAATTGAGATTTTCGCATTTAAATTATATATTTTGAAAAATGTTATATGTAGATGTTTTCAAATTATCTTTTTAAATTTTACATTTGATGTTGAGCGGCATACTTGTATTTGACATATCGGTGGCTTCGAGTTTTGAGGTTAGGTTTTTCACGGACGGTGCTTTGTGTAAATTTAAGTTTATTTTGGTGTTATTGTTAGTGAACCACACCAGCTGTGTTCATTGTGCAGTATAATTTTTAGTTTTTCTCTTATATTTTGTATTTTTTTGTTTCTACACACAACAAAACAATGATCTCGTATAATTTTAACACAACACGAAAGAATTTGACGAGTTGTTTTTTTTATGACATAAATTTAACTTAGCTATAGTTACTCTTACTCGGTTATTAGAAGAAATTGGTTATTTATTTTACTTTAAGTTGTAGTTCACTGTAAATATGAGGTTAGGTATTGTTTTTTTTATGTAGAGTGGGTCGTACACCAAAACAGTTCGGCGGGGTCACTGAACTGGACAGTTTGTGTCTGCAATAAATTATTCTAAGAACGTAATGCATTGCATTTTATTTATCATCTACAGCGCCAATAGCCCAATAATTAGGTAAAAATTCTAGTATGGACTACCGACCGTCCGGTCGTCAGTTCGAATTTTGTCATTAATCTTTGCAGAAATATCTTTGAAATTTAAATCATTGCTTGGTTGGTTTCTCAAGTCAAAATCTTTGTATAAATCATATCGTTATCCTTGTAATTATTCTTGACAAAACAGAGATAACAAAACGAGATTTTGGTCACAGAAACCCACGGTAAGTCACTTTCAATAATCTGCTATTATAATAAGTATTTAAAGATAAAACGCCATTTAATATCGAAAAATAAATCAACTGATAACAGTTTGACAGCGACTGTCAGAGTTGTCAAATATTCGTCTTTTGTATCCGAAAATATGAAAAATGCACGGGCGTGGTTACATTTTAAGACATGAAATAGTGATAAGAACATGGTAAGTAATATAGTTTATATATGGAGGTAACAAATCGATTATAATGCTTTAGTTTCATTTAGAAAATATACAGAAGATTTTGCACTTTGTAAAAAAATGATAGAAAGATAGAAGTTCAATAAAATTAATTTGCAGAGCAGTTCTGATGACCTGAACACCGGAAGGGGTCGACGATGGCGTCACAGGAAGCAGGACGATGTTTGTAATGTTATTTAATATGTGAAACAAATTACCTCATCATTGCAGAATAAGTAAAGTAATATTAAAATGTAGGAATGTGAAATCGAAGATAGTGGTCCTAATAAGAGAGATGCAGCGTTATGTTACCGTTTTCTTGCAGATATTGCTTTGCTATGAGAAATTCCACAGGCGCTTTACTCATTTTTTTCTTTATCCATTTTTTCATCAGCTCACTATACGTTCCCACTGAGGGGCTCGGAGCCTACCCTATATTACGGATGACTAGGCCATAGTCAACCACGCTGGCAAAGTGCGGGTTGATTGACTTCACACATATCTTTGAATTCCTTCTTAGATATGTGCAGGTTGCATCACGATGTTTTCCTTCACCGTAAGAACGTCGGAAATGTACATATGTTATAATCGAAAAACACATTGGTACATGGCGGGATTCGAACCCAGGACCTGAAGATTGCTAGTCAAGTGCTTAAACCCCTGAGCCACCGACGCTCTTATTAATTTTAGTCACAATAAAATGCTGTTTTTCAGTCCGACGACGAGGAAGGAAGTTGTGATAGTATCAAGAATACAGAATCAAAGAAAAGTGTAACCACATCCGTGTATTCCGGAGATTTTACAGATTGTTCTGAGAGGAACGTTAATTCGAGCAGAGATTCTTATGATACAGACTGGGAGGAGAGTGATGATAATGTTAGTATAACATCTTGTCAGCTGCACAGAGTGCATAGCAGAGTGAATATACCTCGCCAGTCTGTGACAAGTCTCGTTGACAGTGAAATGAACCTCATAGGACGAGTCGAAGAACAACAAAATTTTGCCAATGCATCTTCCACTTCTATGAAATGAATATACGTTGAATTGTTAATTTTATATTCCTAATAATCAATGAATTTTTATTCCTTAGTATTTTTTGTGAATTTAATCATTGTTTTGATATTAGTTAAATTAAATACGCATACATTCCATTAAATTATTTGTTTTACTTACGATTTCTGCTTTTTAAAACAAAATAGACTACTAATAGTTTTTATAATAGCGTTATCATCGTTTCATTGACTACATAGACACGTAGAGTTTATAAAAAAAGTCAGGTAAAAAGTTTATAAATCAGCCTTTTAATACGAAGAAAAAATCGTGACAAATAATCTAGTGACAGTAAAATGTCAGAAACTGTCAGAAATGCACTAAAATAATTGTAAGCACGAAGAATACACGGTTGTGGTTACACATTACACTTAAATAGGTCATAAAATGGTTAGTACCCTTTACCTTAATACACGTTCTTCTACAATTCACTATCTTTATGCACATTATGATTATATGAACATTATTAAAGATATAAATAATTAACTTAAGAATCGTTTTAGGAACATGGTGGAAAAGAGGTGAACGCTGAAGAACTACAGAGTACGGAATCAAAAAAAAGTGTAACCACTTCCAATGTGTATTCAACGGATTTCACGGATTACAGCTCAGATAAAAACAATTCATCTGGCAAAGAAACCTATGTTATAGACTGGGATGATAGCGAGGACAGTGAAGCATCTTGTCAATTTAATTCAGAACAAAGCAATAATTTGCAAGATGATAATTGTATAGACAACAACGAGGAAATTATAAAAATATTCGACAATGAAATAGTTAAAGCACATCAAAAGTTTAGTAATAAAGTATCAATGACTTCTCAAATATGTACAGTTATTGGACAAGAAACATTTACACAGACTAGCAAAACTATCATTGAACTTGCAGAGTCCGAAGGTGTTATTGTAAAGTCAGTAGATCTAAACACGTTACAAACTCAAACGTCCTACATTTCTGTTACTGAGAATAAGAGAATAGAATACAAGATTCACAATTCAAACATGCTCGAGTATAAAGACGTTCAGTGCGATGTTAATAATAGCAATGAAATTTGGCCAATTTTAAGTAATAGCTTTGAAGATAAATCATCGAAATGTTTCGAACCTGAATCTGATATAGAGAAAGTTGAAAATGACAACAATGAAATGGATGATACAGAAAATATAACAAATATAAACGAAGAGTTGGACAACTCTTATAAATGTATTGAAGATGTCGACAAATCAATATCCACTTGTTCTGATATTGATGACGATTCACTAATGGAGTACGATAATAACAACAAAAAAGAAAACAGTTTCAGTAGTAAGGACAATGATGAATGTTTTTCACCAAAATCAATAAGTAAAGAAATAGAAGATTTATACATCAACGTATCTAAACGTTTTGAAGTATTTTCTGATAAACATAATGTGGAGACACAATCACAAAATCCATGGGCCAGAGTACTAACTCCTCTAACAGAAGAATCTGCAGCAAATAAGGAAAGTATTATAGACATGACTCCTTGCTTGGACGTTGTAGCTGATAAGAAAAAGCATAACAACGTAGAATTTTACAAACAAAATAAAGAACATGACTATTCAACGTCAGAAGGGGATGATGCTTTGGACACAAAGGAACCGTTTAAATTGCCTCCTATTGAAAACAATAAAGCTACTAATTTATGTTTTTTACTATCTGCACAACATGGAAGGAAGAAAAACATAACATCTGATTATAGTACTGTCAAGTCAGAATGTAATTCTAATAATTTGGCAGCTGGTGAAAGTTCAATTGTAAATGAAACTCGTAAGTGCTTTAGTAACCTAATAAGCGTGATCTTCAGATGGTAGTGAATAAATAAGAAATGATTTCCAGAACGTCTTCCTAACCAACCGATACAATTGCCGCCAATAAATTCTGAACCTGGTATCTATAGTATATATAACAACAATGGCTCCTACTCGTCCTGTTCTTCGAGGATTAGCGTGTCCAAACCAGAATCCACGTGCGACTCCATAAGTATCCAGGATAAGATTAGAGAACTAAAGATGATTGACAGGAGAATGTAAGTTGTTATATAGTAATAAACCAGAATACAGGTCAATTTAAAGCAAAGCAAGAAGTTAGAAATCTTTGTTAGAAGATAATGGTTTTGTTTCTTAGACAAAACTTAGATTCAATACTCATGTCTTGAAAATGTGGTTCTTCTGTTTCGAATTCCCGTCTTATTAGACAAATATATTTTATGAAACATTAATCTCAAGTAATTAAATAAGCTTTTAATACAGGAGAATCAGTGAAAGCATATCGCCTTTGTCTGCGTCCATTCCCGAATGCGGCAAGTCGAATGATACGTCTTATAAAGGCTGCGAACTCTTGTGTGCTGAATTGATGAGGAAGCTAAAGTCATCATCGTGGTAATTTTATAAATTATCAATATTTTTACGAAAAGTAAATTATTATAAAATAGATAAAGTATTTTTGGAACTTTAAAAATTTACCTGAGTTTTACGTCTTAGAAAGATTGAAAAATATTTTAGGTGCGAAGTTGTCGACACTTTGGAAGAAATACCCAAAGCGATGGAGAAATTCTGGAATGTTATCACTGAACTTCGGATAGCCGATTTTATAAGACAGGTGCTCGTCTACTTACTTTACGTATATTTTTAAAGTGCAGAAATTTAATTAAAATAATAAACATGGATGCAAAGACAGACGACGTTTTCCTTTTTTTTAAACAATCCAGGTGACGGTGCACGTGGACTCGCCGCGGTCGCAGGTGGCGCGCACCGCTTGCCTTACCCTCGCGTGCATTCTTAAGAATACAAACTATACTAGGAAACCGGTAACATTAATATTTTTTGAGGAAAAAATGAATTTAAACTTCGAATAAAGAGGTTTAAACATCAAGGATGCATGAATTGGGCGAATCACAGAACAGAACAAACCAAAAACACGTTCCAAATTTGAAAATGATCTATTGTAAAGTAAGCAGGTACAGCGCAAATTGGTTTGAAATGAAAAAAAGAGAGATCGTGTAGAGAAATCCTGATCATGCAGGCTAGAAAGGGATAGCAAATGAAATTGCCTTCAACGTTAACTTTTTCTTAAGCTGGGTCGTTGATATCAGGACTACTACGAGGCAGTGACAGCACTGTTGGTGAAGACCGGTTGCTTCAGCCGGCCAGTGCGGCGCGCGGCCAACATGGCACTTGATGAGATTGTATGTGCGGTCGACTTTACGCAGACCGTCACTGCTCTATGTGTACATGGCGTCGGGTAAAGGAATTTAACGTTACTGATTTTTGATCTTCTGTAATTACAACTTTAGAACAAACGTTAGAACTGACACCGATGTATTATTGCGAAGAACCTAGTGATAAAATAGCATTAATAGTCTAATTGGGTATTGATGATTTTATAAGTTCCATAAAGTAAGTATTTTTGATGTACTGATTTCCTTATCAGCCATAAGAGTCCGTTGGTGCGTTGCGCGGCGGCGCGGCTGCTAGTGGTTTGCTGCGCGGTGTCGGGTGGTGGGCGAGGGCTGCTGCGTGGCCGGCCCGCTTCAGCTGCTGCAGCACGCCGCTCGGCGCTCAGGGCACTCGCTGAACTGCTCCAGGATAAGGCTACTGATGCCAGGTATAGCAATGAAGTCTCTTCACGTTGGTCCTTCGACCCGGATCATCCATTTTCCTACTAGAATTTGCTGTAGGTACAATTGCTATAACTTGAACTTTTAGATTAATCATGTACAAAGGCTTATAATATAGTTTATTTTATATATATAGTTTTCTTAAATGTGTGGTTCAAGTCGGACTATAGTTTTGCGAAATTCGATAAGACATGTGTTGCTGCTAAGATGAAAAGTTTTTGTAGCGGTAGCTTTTGGTTAAGAGCACATAGGCAAACATCTCTCGAACATCGGCAGATTTAGAACTGCACTTTGTTTTTAATCGCCGTAATGTAGAAATAACAGTTCTTATTGATTACACCAACTTAAAATCTATGTTTTGGTCAGGAAATACGCCGAACGTCTCTACTCAATGCTGCGGCCGTTATCCAACTTTGAGGCCTATTTCCTCACAGATGTTGACGTAGAACTGGCCTCAAAACAAATGAAGAAGTACGATAAATTACTTACAACTGGCAGTCAAGATAGATGATTAAATAGTCATTGCTTAAAAAGAGGTTATATTCAATTGTCGCGTTATATGAACGATCTAACTTCTTTGCTATCGCTGATTAAGATGGATGGCAATATTGTAATACATGTACTAAAAGGTCATTGAATACTAGAATTAGTGGTGGCGAATACATTATATTTATGTTGTTGCATTGTACCATTATGACATATACATATGTAGGAAACTTTACGTGTGTAAATTTTAAAACATTTAATGGATGTAAACCAAAATTGTGATTCTAATTTTAAAATTTGAGTTGCTTATGTTCCAGCATTACGAATGATGAATTCATCAGGATGAGTGGTACTTGTATTATTTCGCGGACGCGGCCCGTCGCTCACCCGTCGGGCCCCCGATTGGCTCGAAATTAGTCGGTGCCGCCACCGGACGAATATTCGTTAGTGTTTAGCCGTGTTTATATATCAGTTTAGTATAATGTCTCACGAAAGTTTGAATAATTGAATTAAAAAGTTGTTATTTAATATTATAACAAATATTAAAAATATATTCCATGTGTTTATTTCTGTAGGTCCACTAATTTTAATAACCTTATAGCTGTTGCCAAATTTATAAAACGCATAACAATGAATATAATAATCTGGTTTTTACCAGTTTGCACCGTCTTATGATTTTGATTTAATCTGCAGAACGACACAATGTTATGCTTTAATGTTATGATTTAAGAAAATAATTATATTCTCTTTAAGCTTATTTCCACTGACACGGTTTTTTTTATATCAAAAGGTGGCAAACGAGCGAGCAGCCACCTGAAATCGCTGAAATAGCGAAGTGACTGCAGCCCATAGACATACGCAATTGCATATGCGCTGCCTAACTTTAATCGACGGAGGAGAGGATGCACAGAAAGAAAATATCTTCCTTTTCCATGCATCCTCTCATCCGTAAAGTCCACTTCCACTTCCCATCCTTTCCTTATAAAGAAAAGGATGGGAAGGGAAGGGAAAGAGGACTAAATTAGGCCTCCGGGACGAACACTCATCAGACGAAACGCGGAATTGCTTCCACTTCACGCCTGTCTTCTGTGTGGTCGTGGTATTTCACCGGGCGAGCCGGGCCAATTCGTGGGAAGATGTTAAAGCGGGCTCTAACACTGTTAAAATACGCGCGCGGCTGGCCATTTACCAGTGGATCTCAGGCTTACATTTTTTTATATATAATCCTGTGTATAAAAGCGTTATGTACTGGTAAATACTCTGTGTGTATATAACACTTTTCGCACAGATTATGCTAATAGTGTAGCTGAAATAACGCTACGTAATCAGATGACGCGTACTCTTGGTGCAAATGTACCGACCAGTACGCCTGCACTTAGAATTGCATTTGATCTTTATATTTATATTGTGATAAGTAGACGCACTTGACCCCTAGCTTGGTGACTTAGATTCTTGTTCGAAACGTGCGGTAGTTTATTAATATAAAATTGAAATAAATTATCAACAGTCTAGTTGGTAGTAGGCCTAATAAGGTTCAGTTCACAGACGATTAATAAAATAAAAATAAATTTATATACTGGCAGATATTACCGTTATAATAAAGAGAAGAAAACAAATTGAAGTACGCGGAACGGAACGTAACGCTACAAGCTTTACACAGTTTAATAACCTTAACATAAGTATTTATGCTTTATTCATGAAATATTGAATGATTAATGATTATATGTCAATAATAAGATATTATTTAATTAAGTATACACATACTATGGGCGTAGTAACATTTAATTAGTTACTATTTTAATGAATGGGGATAAGAAATAGATTTACTTAATTTATAATTAACACAAAAGAGCGATTCGCGTTCGTTTGTTTTGTTTGATCTCGGCTTTTATCTCTGAAATGATTTAAGTCAAACATGTTTGCTTCTTTGGCAGTGAATTTCTTTTTATCTTGAGTAAGGTCTGAATTTTTTTTATCGTATTATTTTTAAAATATGAATAATAATTATATTCTAATTTCTTATGTACTCGTGCGTCCTTGTATGAAAGCAATTTTCCTTCGCATCTGACTCCACTGACTCCCACACACGTTGATAAGAAAAGATGAGCCGCTCTATCTAATAACAAGCTATTAATATCTTTATTTCCTTAAAATAAAGTTGAATATCCCTTGAAGTGATGAAAGTATAGAAAATAATTAAAATCGTACGATAATAAATAATAAATATCTTGATACAATGCAGCGACAGTTTTCGCGTGACATTAGTAATAATGTTGTTTTGATTTAAACTCTATATATTGTGAATAAGGTCGTTATTTCTTTGTGTTTTACAAGTTCTTTGGCGCTATTGGAAAAGTGTTTGTTTACAATAAAGTTGTAAAGGGCGGGTTCAGAATGTTGTGTCATATCGCAGATTGCGCGTGTCGTCAAACAATTCTCTTGAGCATCAGTATATGAGGAAATTATAGATAAAGCTAAGGGACATTGAAAAGATTTTAACTGCGGTCAGAATCGGAAATCTCGGAATTATAACGTGTATGTGACCTAATCCTCAAATTGTCAAAAATATGTATTATAATATATGAGAATCGAAGTTTAGAGACCTTTTTGCAATGCCATGATGAGATACTTTTGTTTATAAAATAGTGAATAGGCCAGCGCTTGACCACGCTCCCACCTGTTACTAAACAGTAAAACATTTGCATTTTAAGAACATTAAGTTAAATATTTCATAAAACGTACGGATTTAATTAAAAATAAAAACAAGTACTTCGACTGTCAACATTCCGATGAAAAAATCAACTATTTATTACACATAAATTTTTTTTCATTTTGTCATGATGTTTAAGCTACTAGGTAAGGAATAACTCATACGTTTAAAAATAGAACTACGAAAAATATAACCTTTAAATCTTTTGACACATGGAGGTAAGATGTATCGATAAGAAATTAATGAGATTGAATGTGTATACAAAGGTAGAGGAAGACCAAAGAAAGTGTGCATGGATAGTGTGAAAATAGAGTAAATTCGGAGGGCTGATAGAGATGAGAATGTAGTACATAATGTACTGAACCCTTTGTAGGGACAAGGGAAGGTTGAAGTTGGAGGCGTTGGGGGAGCTATAGGTCTACGACTAACAAAAGCGTGGATTTGTATAGCCTACTTTAGAAAGCCTGCCCGTATTAAACATATTGTGATTTCAATCATGTCTCTAACACAGTAAGAAACTCCACTGGAAAATAGAGATTTCTAATCTCCAACTATCGAGGCCGTATTAGTAATAACTCGTTCGAATTTTGAATTTCTGTGAGACTTAAAAAGTATAGTGTTAATAAGAAAGAATCCTTATCTTCAGGATCGAATTTTTATTTCAGGAGCCTAGCGGGAATATTTGTGACATGCATCATAGTAATTCATAGAAAAAAGTTTAATTAAAATTTGTCCAACCTTATTTGGCTTAAATTACACCAAACATCTCATACTTATTTTGACATAAATGTCCATGACGATAGAAGGGCGTTTGTTGCAAATATTTGTGCTAGGACCACAAAGGTTTTTGTACAGTTTCTTTCAATCGAATAGTGTCTTTTTTTGAGAGTATCTCGTAGCTTCGTAGCAAAAGCTCGTAGCTTTCTTACTTAATAGGTGGATGTTTGAATTAAAATCAGATTATTTTAAAACATATTTATTAAAGAGTAACCATTTAATTATTATATGACGTAGATATTATTACATAACGTAACTTAAAGTGTACGAAATGAAAAAAAAAATATATCAAGATTGTTGTTACATTTTAACGACATGCTATTTTATTTCTTATCATATATTAAACAATAAATAATTATCAGTACATAATGTACATCTCAAAATACTATTACGCAACCTAAATATTTACCTCTAATTAAATCCAAATTAAAACATAAAAGGAACTTTTGAACTTGTAACTATAAACTAACAATTTAGAAAATAGTGTTTAAATAAAAAATACTTATAAAAGATTAAGTACAGATAATTCTGTTAGGCGGTGACCTAATATAGGCCTGGAAGTCGTAAGACTCTAGAAACGTCTATGACCAGATATTTAATCCAAATTTCCATTTTATCTCTGACTATCGTAACTTCTGCACGCGGTGTGGTGTTGGCTGATAATTGCACAGCTTAAGCAGGCACCAGGATCGCTTCTGGACGTGGTTGCGACGGTGGCTGGGTCGCGCTGCGCATTGCTGGCCCAGGGTTAGTGCAGCCAGAAGGACAATGATGATGTGCAGTAGACGCATCTTGAAACTCTCGTCTACGTCTTCACAAGTGCAGTTTAGTAGATGACTAAGGTTATTTCTTGTCTTTCTTCAGACGATGCTTGTTAGCAAGGTTACTTCAAGGCTTGATTCTTTCTAACAGTTTTAGTAGTTGTGATATTTCTACTAATATTAGTAAGGTCCGTAGTTAGAATTAGTAAAGGTCAGTTGTTTATCGTTTGCCGCTTGGTAGTGTACTGGAGATCGCGTTAAGCCCCTCTTATATATAAGACCGGAGGTTATCTGGCGCGTGCATGATAACCCGCCCAATTGTGATACAGCCCCAGGTTCGATGACTGCGTCTCAATGTCACTCCATCCATTGTAGTAAATTTATCTAAGTAAACGCACGTGCCTCATGGAACATTTTATTTACGTTAAAAAAATCAATTTTCAAGGCTAATTGCTTAGTCATTATTATCCAAATAGTGTGGAATAGTCTGTATGTTTCGGTAGATTATGACCTGCCTCAATCTAGACTTCTATTTCGTATGTCGCCCGATAGCTCGTACGTAATCTCTGATAAGATTTCATCACTAAATTACTTTTTGAGGTTATTTTATAATTTTTTTTTTAATTTTAAACTGAAAAATAACATGAAAAAAGGTATAATAGAAATTAATCAGCTTAACACAAGTAGAAATTAATGTTCTGGATATTTGTCGGATACGTCTTTCCAAATCATATTATAATTTTTCTAATTTAAATTCATGATAACGATACAAAGGTCACCAAATCAGCCTTAATTTTTAAATATACTTCAAAATCGTATACATTTCACGAGTCAGTGATCGAAACACGGGCCCTAACCGGTATTATCCAGTTTTTTCAACTTTAACACATTTTTAGTTTATCAGTTTACATTTTTACTCTGTTGATAATATTGACGCGCAATAATGCGCGGATAAAAATACTTAAAACGTGATATTTCTCTTTATAATGTCACAAAGATATCCTAAACACGTGGGCTTGTCTATTTAGGCATATTAAATGGCTCAATCAGACAAGGATTTTAACTTTTTTCTGTCA